GAGGCCTAGATGCAATTTTTTAGTTATATTTCATTTTGTATGGTTAAAATGTATATCAGTGCATCATCGAAAAAAAAAAAACACACATTTAAATGTTTAAAAATAAAATAAACCACATACATATTCAAAACATGCTTCAAAATAAAAAAAATGTGTGCTGAAAGACAGTTAAAGTCTTAAACTAAAATTAGCAAAAAAGATTATTCATAATTAAGCTATTTTAACCCTTTGACTGTTTCAGGCCCCTCTCTGAAACTGTCATTCTATGTCGCTCAATTTTTGAAAAAAAAAAAAAAAATTATTTTTTCTTATGAAATGATAGAGAATCTTTTCCCGATGGTAATGACACCAAAAGTTCAAAATTTGGTCGAAAACTCGTGGAATTATGCTCCCGCGAAGTTAGCAGTCTCGGCGACATATGCGTATCGGCGATTTCGCCGACTTTGAGCCCTATTTTCAGCCAATTCCATTGTTCCAGTTGACCAAACTCATAGCTATTTCTTTAGAACTCCATTTTATCTATCAGCTGAGTACAAGAAACCTCCCATTTACTAATTTGGACTACCCAATATGGTGGTCAGAAATTGGCAATTTGGCCAATTTCACGCAAAATAAAAAAGATGCCAATTTCAAAATAGGGTCCAGAATAAACAAGGTAGACATTCGTGGCACTAAAATAACATATGCTCTGTTCATTAGTCACATCTCTAGGCCCCTCTTATATTATTATTGCTTTCTATTTTGATTTTTTATTCATACAAAAAAATACAAAATTTACTGTTATGCAGACGACTGCATTATTGTAAAAATGGTATAAATAATATCAGTGCACTAGTGAAAGAATATTAGACTCCCCAGTTGACGTGTATTGGACGTGTGGTGTGATTTATTTACTCTTGAACATTGGTAAAAATCGAACATTTCCGCTACTTTGAGCTCAGTTTCAAGGTCGTTTTCATCGTAAAAGTAATGAAAATCATCTCTGTTTCTGTAATATGTTTTCCATTTTATCACCTAAGACCATGAAAACGCGAATACAACGATAAATACTATACGAAAATACACATCAAAGTCGGCGTTTTATTCCAAAAAAACGATCAGAGTTTTTTTTTTCTCATTACGTAATGTGTGCTGCAGGATTTTTTTTACGTGGTGCACACTGACCACACAGACCCATTCTCTCACATGTGGGCCTACCAGCTTTCTCCCACTTGATTTGAAGCCGCTAGAATTATTGAGTATATATACGTCAAAAACATTGGCTCGTAAGACGTATTTATACGTCGAAAACAGTCAAAGGGTTAAGGGAGTATGGAGGAAGTATGTGTGTTTAGATATTTATTTGAAGGCTGGCTTTTCAGCAATGGTTCTATGAGAGACAAGGTGAACCATAGAAATAATGGGAACAAAAAAAAAAAGATGGGTGGTGCACTGCAGCATCTGTGGAAACAAAACTTTATCCATAGAGGGAAAAAGGGAAATGAACCAGAGTATGGTGGTACCAACACTGTTATGTATGTGTGAAGCAAGGTTTTTTAAATGCTGTAGGAGGAGGTGGCAGCTAGAGGCAACAGAGATGTCATGGGGAAGTCGAACAGAATTCTTCCTCTGTAAGCCATGCGTGTTGTAAGAGGTGACTAAAATGCCAGGAGCAAGGGGCTAGTAACCCCTTCTCTTGTATATATTACTAAATTTAAAAAGAGACACTTTCATTTTTCTTTTTGGGCCACCCTGCCTAGGAGGGATATGGCCGGTTTGTTGAAAGAAGACAAATTTGGAGTTTGGAGATTAGGTGTGGGGTTATCAAAAGTATTATTCAAAGCCAAGCAGTTGTTGAGGTGGTTTGAACATTTAGATGGGTTGAAGAAAAATACAACGCCTATGAGAATATATAAATCTGGAGTGGGAGGGTGGGATGGCCTAGGAAATGTTGAAGGAAGGGGGGTAAAGGTCTTGCATGTTAGGGGTTTGAGCATCCAACATGCTTGTGCAAGCATGTTAGATAAAAGTGGAGGCAAGTGATTTTTATGATTTGACATGCTGTTAGTGTGAGCAAGGTAACATTTATGAAGGGATTTAGGGAAACTGGTTAGCCAGATTTGAGTCCTGAGTTGGGAAGTACATGACCTGCACTTTGGAGGGATGGGGATGTTGTGGTTTGGAGGGGAGTGATGATGGCATCCTTCTGGCAAGAATATGACTGAATGAGTGACAGTGAGTGTTTTCATCTTTGTCGGGTCATCCTACTTCTGTGGGATATGACTGAGATGTTTAAAAAAAAAAAAGTAAACTCAACAAAATTACTGTATAGAAAAAACCACGATGAAGCCTCTGGTGTTAAATACCTGTAACATCTGCAATTAAATATTTAATATTCATTATATAAATATTTCTTTGGTAAGAGTGATTCTCTTGACTTACTATAATTTGTAGGAGTGTGTTGGGGAAAGGTGGTGGGTGTTGCTGGGGGCAAGTTAGCACCATACAGGAATAATGCACGGGTGGCCCACTCTGCAACCTGTTAACAACAATTTTTGGCATTGTTACATATCAGTTTCCACCCAACATACTGTAAAAAGTAATTGCTATATTACTCTAACAACCTACCTCAACCATTTCATCCGTCTTCAATCAAGACCTTGAAAACCCTAGAAAACATTACTGAAAATTGTTCATGCTATATATGGCATCTTCCAATGCTTATAAAATAATTTTAAACATACTCCTTAAAACAAATAGCTCGTGATCAAACATCTCATTCACTTGAATTCACTCCCGAGTTTCGCATCTCATTATTCCTTGTAGAATTAGGCACTTTTGTTACCAGCATAAAACCTGCATCATCTTTATGTCAGTGTGAGTGTAACTAAAGACTTTATCCATCAATATGGGAAAGAGAAGATATCATCCCCAATGATGACTAACTACACTCACTGTTAAACCCTCTGGTCTATTATACCTCCTCCACTTCCATGTATCTCACTAATACATGCTGAAGCAATAATCATGCAGTTCACTCATGTTATGTCTCAGCAAAACCAAGGAGTAATACCTTAACTTGTATGATAGCTAAACAGCCATGAACAAATTATTTTTAATACACTATTCAAGTGCTTCTTCAAAGTTTTCAACATTTCAAGGCTCCTGAAATGTGCAATATGGGGAAGTATACCATGTAAGGTTTTCTCACCGGTGTATTTTGACTATTTGGATCCGTTGCAATAATTAATGCAGTAGCACAAGCTTGGGTTGGTGTCATTGCAGTGAAGAAATCCTTGACTATGGCTGCCTCTGCCCCACTAGACTCTTCAAGGAGTTGCCGAAGCTGATCAACTGGCCGCTGGAAGGTGAGAATGTGGGCACCATTGGCTGATAGCAATACCAGCTGCCTGGGTGCATGTTGATGTTGAGTGACCAACAGTGGTGGTCGGGTTCCCTGTAAGCAACAATCAATAAAGGTACCTATTATAGTTGCTATTAAAGAATGCATACAAATATAAATGAATATAAATCACCCTGCCTTGGTGGGAATCAGCCAGTGTGATAATAATAAAAAAATCACAGCATTCACCATAAGAACATACAGTATTCATAAAGGCTTTACTTAGAAGGATTTAAATTCTCTTGCACATTACCACTGTAGCCTTCTTCATGCTCCATTTCACATTCAGATCTTACATTTAATATATAAATGCTATTTTACTAAATCACTTTTTCCCTCACTTCAACACACTATCAAATATTCTGTACTTGTAATTTCACCTCATTCATTCAACTGCTGCCTTTCCAGAAGTATGCTGACATCTCAATTAAGATAACCCTTTGAGTGTAACATCCCCGCCTTCCTTTCAGTGTAGGAGCTGCTTTTCCCACCTCCAGAACCCCAGTCCTCCTTAACTGGTTTCCCCAAATCCCCTCATAAATGATACCTTGCTCACATCTGAATAGCATATCAAGTTGTCACAGTTGCTCTTTGCTGATGACACTGTGCTCTTGGGAGATTCTGAAGAGAAGTTGCAGAGATTGGTGGATGAATTTGGTAGGGTATGCAAAAGAAGAAAATTGAAAGTGAATACAGGAAAGAGTAAGGTTATGAGGATAACAAAAATATTAGGTGATGAAAGATTGGATATCAGATTGGAGGGAGAGAGTATGGAGGAGGTGAATGTATTCAGATATTTGGGAGTGGACGTGTCAGCGGATGGGTCTATGAAAGATGAGGTGAATAAATAGAATTGATGAGGGGAAAACGGTGAGTGGTGCACTTAGGAGTCTGTGGAGACAAAGAACTTTGTCCTTGGAGGCAAAGAGGGGAATGTATGAAATTATAGTTTTACCAATGCTCTTATATGGGTGTGAAGCATGGGTGATGAATGTTGCAGCAAGGAGAAGGCTGGAGGCAGTGGAGATGTCATGTCTGAGGGCAATGTGTGGTGTGAATATAATGCAGAGAATTCGTAGTTTGGAAGTTAGGAGGAGGTGCGGGATTACCAAAACTGTTGTCCAGAGGGCTGAGGAAGGGTTGTTGAGGTGGTTCGGACATGTAGAGAGAATGGAGCGAAACAGAATGACTTCAAGAGTGTATCAGTCTGTAGTGGAAGGAAGGCGGGGTAGGGGTCGGCCTAGGAAGGGTTGGAGGGAGGGGGTAAAGGAGGTTTTGTGTGCGAGGGGCTTGGACTTCCAGCAGGCATGCGTGAGCGTGTTTGATAGGAGTGAATGGAGACAAATGGTTTTTTAATACTTGACGTGCTGTTGGAGTGTGAGCAAAGTAACATTTATGAAGGGGTTCAGGGAAACCGGCAGGCCGGACTTGAGTCCTGGAGATGGGAAGTACAGTGCCTGCACTCTGAAGGAGGGGTGTTAATGTTGCAGTTTAAAAACTGTAGTGTAAAGCACCCCTCTGGCAAGACAGTGATGGAGTGAATGACGGTGAAAGTTTTTCTTTTTCAGGCCACCCTGTCTTGGTGGGAATCGGCCAGTGTGATAATAATAATAACAAAAAAAAAAAAAAAAAAAAAAAAAAAAAAAAAAAAAAAAAAAAAAAAAAAAAAAAAAAAAAAAATAATAATAATAATAATAAAAAATCAAATCTTTAAAGCTCGTTTCCACTTCGACTCAAACCAACAAAAGCATACACACAGACACACTCCCACACACAGCCACCCACACACAGCCACCCCACCCCCGATAGATTCTTAATCCATTACTACACCCTGGAATGATCCCTATCCCTCTGGATTCATACACTCTTGGTCATTTTCTGCTCAAACCTTTCTAAATGATCAACCTACCTCAACAACCCCTCCTTCACACTCTGAATTATATTAATAAAAGAATAATCAAAGTATACAAAATTTATTTATTTTTATTATTTTATTAACACATCAGCTGTTTACCACCAAGGTAGGGTGGCCCGAAAAAGAAAAGCTTTCACCATTATTCACTCCATCAATATCTTGGCAGAGGTGCAATTACATTACAGTTATGAAACTGCAGCATTAACACCCTTCCTTCAGAGTACAGGCAATGTACTTCCAATCTCCAGGACTCGATTCTGGCCTGCCAGTTTCCCTGAATCCCTTCATAAACATTACCCTGTTCACACTCCAACAGCACATTAAATCCTAAAAACCATTTGTCTCCATTCGCTCCTATCTAACACACTTACGCATGCTTGCTGGAAGCCTAAGCCTCTTGCACATAAAACCTCCTTTACCCCCTCCCTCCAATCTTTCCTAGGCTGACCTCTACCCCTGCCTTCCCTTCACTACAGATTTATACACTCTCGAAGTCATTCTATTTTGTTCCATCTTCTCTACATGTCTGAACCACCTCAACAGCCCCTCCTCAGCCCTCTGGAGATTGGTTTTGGTAATCCCGCACCTCCTCCTAATTTCCAAACTACGAATTCTCTGCATTATATTCACATCACACATTGCCCTCAGACATGACAACTCCACTGCTTCCAGCCTTCTCCTTGATGTAACATTCACCGCACATGCTTCACACCCATACAAGAATGTTGGTATAACTATACTCTCATGCATTCCCCTCTTTGCTTCCATGGACAAAGTTCTTTGCCTCCACAAACTCCTCAGTGCACCACTCACCTTTCTCCCCTTGTCAATTCTATGATCTTTGTGTAGATCCATCTGCTGACACATCCATCACATACTGTTCACCTATATGTTTCACTGTAAAGACATGGTCTACACACCCTCTACCATTCCTAAAGCTTCCATGTTCATCTGCTATCCTACTCTGTCTTACTCTTAATTCTTTCAATAATAACTACCATACACTTTACCAGGTATACTCAACAGACTTATTCCTCTATAATTTTTGCATTCTCTTTTGTCTCCTTTGCGTTTATACAAAGGAACTATGCATGCTCTCTGCCAATCTCTAGGTACCTTACCCTCTTCCATACACTTATTAAATAAAAGCAACAACAACTCCAAAACTATATCACCTGCTTCTAACATTTCTATCTTTATCTCATCAATCCCAGCTGCTTCATCCCCATTTCATTCTACCCACTGACTCGCAACCTTTCCTAGCATTAGCAGGAAAAGGCAACTATAGCTAAAAATTAAGAATAAAGAGGTGAAGGGACACAAATTCTTCACAGAGTGGTAGAACAATGGAATGATTCACAAAGAGTATTAAGCATTATAAGCAATAAAAACTTCTAAAAATTATGTGATGTTGACAAATTAAAAAGCTGTAAAAGAAACAAGAGATTATTTCTGCTCCTGTAAGCAGAAACAGGAAATTACAAGTTTTGTAATTACAAACCTGAGCTGTTGGAGGGTTTAATGCAGAACACCACAATTCAGGAGTAACATCAGCAAGTGCCCACACATAACCATCCACAGCATGTGTGCTCTGAGACTCTGCCAGTGTAGGATGATACGGGTACTGGTCACTACTCATTGTCCAAACTGTATCTGCTTCAATGCTTTCATTAGAACACAGAACACCTGTACCTGTAAAAAAAAGAAAAGGTATTGAATGTATTTACACATTTGCCCACAAATTTCTTTTCTAGCACTTCCTATCTGCTGAAACAAATATGTCAAGTGGTTACGATTTTCTGATTCCCTTTCAACAATACCATAAAAAAAGCAAAAACATACCATGAGAATAGAGTGCTTTATGAACCTTTGTAGGTCTGTAAACTGTAGCATTAGCGGCAAAACCAGGAGGAAGACGAACGTGCAGTAATGTCAACTGTGAGGGTCGCTGATTTGGTCCTCCATTTAGTGATATTGTGGTGTAATACAATCTAACCCCAGTACCTGGTTGCAAAATAATCATCGTTATTATCATATATATTTTTTTAACTGCACCCATATTCCACCAATGTAGTGACCATACCCCCCCCCCCTCAAAAAAAAAACAAAAAAATTCCTTCACTCAGCAGCTGTCTTGCCAGAAGTATACACACATCACAATTCCAATGACACTCCAGAAACTAACATTTCCACTCTTTCTTCGGAATGCAGACACTGTACTTCCCACCCTGAAACCTTCCATAAATATTACCTTACACATACACACTAACAGTCTATCAAATCCCTAAAATAACTTTTTTCCCCCTCTTATCCCTACTACTTAAAACTTCCTTTATACTCTACCTCCAACCATTCCAGGGACAATCCCTCAACCCCCTTTTTTCCTACCTGGGGGTTTATTCTACTGCCTGGTTATCCTATTCTCCTCCATCCTTTCTTAAATCCTCAACCTGCCTCAACCCTTTTTTTGCCCTCTGGATAATGTCTTTCATAACCTCCACACAGTCTTCTAATTTCTGTGCTAAAAATTATTTGTATGATATTCACACCACACATTGCTCTCAAACATGACATCTACAATGTCTCATATTCCATACACATGGGGAATTACCAATAAACCTCTGGTGGTCTTCTAGAGGGAACTGGACAAGTTCTTGAAATCAGTGCCCAACCAGCCAGGCTGTGGTTTGTGTGTTGGACTGCATGTGGCTGGTAGTAACAGCCTTGATCCGCTAGGTGGCCAGGCTGCAAGGGTACTGGCCCCCAGAAATGTCATTCATGTTGAAAAGTAGAGAACAGCTTTTTACTGAGGAGGCCTTTTATTTTTCATAGCTGACTATTTCTCTTTGGGTTCCATTTATTAGAAAGCTAAAGATTTATTTTCACTTTTTCATGTATTTTGTGTGCTATTACCCCATGATCCTACATCAAAGGTTTTCTCAGCATCTGTGTGCATTACACATCGTAATCATTTTGCATATCACTAGAGAATCAAAAAAGCATGCCACTATAAAAATGTGGTGGCATGCAGAGGTGATAGGAAGGTGTGTGATTCAGTTGCAAGTGAAGACTACATGTTGCTACATTTACCTGTGACCACCACCAGGTGGATATGCGTTGCCTCACTGGTACTTATGGGACACAAGCTCACCAAGCCCCTGAAGTTGGCTTTATCTACTGTCCTGTAAAATGGGTTAAGTTGATAATTACAACACCAAGGCAGGAACAATTCACAAACTAACCTGCAAACTGGAGATACCAGAACACCGTATAGAATCAGTGGGTTAGATATGGATAGCTGAGGATTTTTTTTTTTTTTTGTAACACATCGGCCGTTTCCCAGAGCCTGGATGACGATATGCGCAATAAACTACACATAGCTAATATTCAATTCTTCAGCAAAAAGATCAGTTTTTACAATTTTATGATATTCTCATAGAAGTAAATGTGCATTTATTGTCTAAAGAACAACATATGGAAAGTGTAGTATTTTTTCATTTAGCTGAGAAGCAATGCACCATGGTGTATTGAGAATAAAGAAAGGGAAAGTGCAGGCGGGAGAGGAAAGCAAGAAAGAGAAAGTGAGGAGAAAGTAGAGAAGCAAAAGAAGAGAGGAGCAAGAGAAAAGAGATAAATGATAGAGGACACTATTAATATGAAGAGGGTATTCAGAGAGAGTTTTAAGTAACAACTGCCATCTCTTACTTAGCAACTTGAAGTGCAGCATTCATGATGTTGTTATGAGTAACTGAAACAACACGAGACGTGTTCTTGCCATCAGAATCCAAGTCATATACTGTAATGGTGCCTTTATCACTTAGGGTATACAGGATGTGTCGACTGTCATCTACTTCAACCTGGAAAAGTAGATATATTTTTTTTTAATTTTTAACTTAAAATTAAATCAATTATATAACAGGTATACCTGAATCCCTTCATCAACATTACCTTGCTCACACCACAACAACACGTCAAGTCGTGAAAAACCACTTCCCTTCACTCCTACTTAATGTGCTCACACAAACCTATTGGAAGTCCAAACCCCAGTGCTTAAAAACTCTTTTAGCCCCTCCTTTCAACTTATCCTGAGATAACACCTACCCTTCCTTCCTCCACCCCATAATTTATACACCCTCCTACTCATCTTATTTTTCTCCATCCTTTCTAAAGTCCAAATCCTCTCAGAAATTCCTCCTCAATACTCCGAATACTACTTCTGTAACCTCACACCCTTTCTGCAATGTTTAAACCCCATACCTCACACCCTTGCTGCAATGTTAAAACCCCATACCTCACACCCTTGCTGCAATGTTTAAACCCCATGTCTCACAACAGTGTTAGTACCACTATGCTGTGATACACTTCCCATTTTTGCCTCCATGGATAAACTTATTATCTCCACAGGTGTGCCAATGCAAAAATAAATTTAAACGAACAAACAGCATTACACTACATTTTTTTAGTCTATCACAATTTGGCCTTCAACAGAAAATGTACATTACTAACCTGATTGATTGGATCATCCTCAGAGAAAGCAAGGAAGGGAAGAAGGTATGAAATTGCTGATCTTGAGTGGTTTACTTTCTGGCACTTGCGGCTAAACCATCCATCCTCTGCCTGAAATAATCATTTAAGTACTGTAAAATATATGGTATAATTTACACATGAGACCACTTACAGGGAAAGCAATATGATGGCTTTGAGAATAAGAGGAGTCAATTTGCTTTAGTTCAGTCTATTCATCACTGCAACAAACCATCCTCAAGATATTGCATGAAAACTGACTTGGTGAAAACTAGGAATCCCACCAAGGTGAGGAAATGTAATAAAAACAGGTGAAATTAATGCACTTGCACATTTATTGTTGGTGTTTTCCCAATACCTGGTAAACTAATTCATACAAGCAACCATCTTTGGCTCCCATGAAGATCCGGCCATCTCTAGTACCACGGATAGTGAGGATGTATGAGCCATCAGTTGGTACAGAAAACAATGGTTCTGGTAGTAGATGCATCCCAGAACTGCCTTCAACTGAAAATTAAATAAAAAAAAAATACCAGTTTAACAGTAATTTTAATTATAAATGGAGCTTAATAAAATTTGTCACATCCATTTTTTTCTATAATAAGCTGCAGCACTAGAAATCATGGTGCATAAATTTTCAAAGTTTTTATAACTTTTGAAACTTGCAACCTCTACCTACCATCTGTAGACTGCGAGAATGACACCCCTAAGAGAACAATTTCGGAAGTGGTTGTGAGACAGAGGAGGTGCTCTATGTATGGCTTAAACACACCGCTCTTCGGTCTTACCAGTCCTACACTTAAAATAGTTTCGTGAAGTCCATCAAAATATGCCAAGTCACTCCTGAAAAGAATTTTAGAAACATTAATTAGTTTTATAATGAAAACTGTTTCTTGGCACACAAAATAGGTGCTGTATCCTAATGCCCAATCCTGTTTCTGAAGGCATAATATCTCATGAAAAGGCCTTAAATGTAAAATATAAACTATGTAAGTTTTAATTTAGGTCTCACATAAATTTAAACTTGTATCCATTACTGCCTCAACCCACTGAGAAATTACACTGGCTTTCAAAATGTAAGACAAAAATCACAAATACGTATACTCCTTATTTTGTACATATATCTTGAACCTTGTATAAAAATTAATGAGCAAAATCTCTAATTCAACATTGCCACCCTCTGGAAAAGTACAAAGTTTTTCTTGGCTCATCATATCGTATTTAAAAGCTCTCATTAATCACTGTGCTCCTCAAAGCTCTCACTGCCTTACTATAATTTCCAGGTTCTTTCCAAAACCTTTTCATTCTAATGTCATTTAACTTCCATTCATTTAATTCTGTATTTCAGTCATACTTTTTTACTGCATATGAGGCACTGCACAGCAAAAAACAGGTGCTGCTATACAGCCTTGACATTTTATCAACTTGTGGGAAAGTGTAAACAATGTCTTCTGCATATGTAAGTCAGACTTAGAGCTCCATAAAGTATACTAATGTGAGCATCATAGTTCCAATCTTCCCAAGCCCGCTCTATTTCTCCAATGTTTGAATTTGGAGCTCATTTTATTCTGCCATGCAATGCCTCGTATATTAACCATGAAAGTATTACATTTATCTACAAACATTTAGCAGTGGAGATGCCCTGTCTAAGGGCAATGTGTGGTGTAAATATTATGCAAATTCGGAGTGTGGAAATTAGGTGGTGTGGAGTTAATAAAAGTATTAGTCAGAGGGCTGAAGAGGGGTTGTTGAGGTGGTTTGGTCATTTAGAGAGAATGGATCAGAGTAGAATGAATCAAAGTAGAATGACATGGAGAGCACTTAAATCTGTAGGGGAAGGAAGGCAGGGTAGGGGTCATCCTCGAAAAGGTTGGAAGGAAGGGATAAGGGAGGTTTTGTGGGCGAGGGGCTTGGACTTCCAGCAGGCGTGCATGAGCATGTTCGATAGGAGTGAATAGAGACGAATGGTATTTGGGACCTGATGATCTGTTGGAGTGTGAGCAGGGTAATATTTAGTGAAGGGATTCAGGGAAACTGGTTATTTTTATATAGCCGGTCTTGAGTCCTGGAAATGGGAAGTACAATGCCTGCACTCTAAAGGAGGGGTTTCGGGATAATAGCAGTTTGGAGGGATATGTTGTGTATCTTTATACGTATATGCTTCTAAACTGTTGTGTTCTGATTATGTGTGAGTGAGGTGAAAGTGTTGAATGATGATGAAAGTATTTTCCATTTGGGGATTTTCTTTCTTTTTGGGTCACCCTGCCTCGGTGGGAGACGGCCGACTTGTTATAAAAAAAAAAAAAATTAGCAAACTGGATAGAAAGTATACAAAGAATGTAGCCTGTGAACTTTACTTAAGCGAGACATGATGAAATGTAAAGTGGCCAAACATCTTTAATTATGCAACAAAATTATATCCAGTAAAAAAATTACTAATAATGGTAAAATTACTGACAAAATGTTAGGTAAATGGACACAAACGCAACTAATGTGACATTTAATTGTGGTAATGTTTTGCTCTCTAGAAGCTTTGTCAAGCAGTTACTGTAATGGTTTAACAAAGCTCCTGGAGTGAAACGCTGCCACAATAAAATGTCATATTAGTTACACGTGTCCATTTACTTGAAAAAAATTATATTTTGCGGCCTACTCAGAAGGATGTTTAATAACCAAGTGGGCATCATAGCGAGAAAATAATGGATACTGTATTATAGTATTCCTGAAAGAATAGTGATAGTTATATCTACAACATGTAATGCAGTATACTGTATTATGACTATTGCAAACAGGAAATAAGGATCCAACACATCTTTTACTATCAGGAAATGTCTATCTTCATTTTTATTACCATCATCTACGTAATATTCAAAATTGGTTTGCCCATTATTCTGAATCTCCTTGTTTTCCTGGAACTTCATAATACTTCTATATCCACAATTTTTTTGTAAATTACTCAAAAATTGATTGATAAAAAATAACACAGTATAAACTAGCCAGTACATTCAGAAAATATGATGAGTTATTGCTATTTCTTATAAATGCACACTAGGACTTACCCATCTTCATACACCCATACATATATGTCGCTGTCTATGGTTAACCAGGCACGATTGATCTCAGGAAACAGGCCCATCATGCAGTTACACTGCATGTCTGGTTTACTATTAAGGAGAATGTCTTCCACTGAAATGCATACTTTACTATCCAATGAAACAAAGACACAAAACTAAATCATTAGGTCAAAAATTAACTTATTTATGTCAAGATACAGTACTGACCACTCATGAATCGAACAGAATATACAGTACAGCACTAGAAGAGTTCAACTGACGAGCAAGATACATTCCTTAAATTTTTTTGTAACACTAGTGTTTGGAACTTGAAGCCAATGATTTGATTTTTACCCTTTATTGAACCTTTTAGAAGCTCAAGCTTTACCCCTTGACACTGATAGAGAAGGAAGTGGTTATTCAGCACTTTGACAATAAATAGTTACTGTAACTATACGCACTAATATTCGCAATTCAAAACTATATTATAATAATAGAAATAACTGAATTTACAAAAACTTCAATGATAAAGGATACGCTGGAAGTGATGAATAAGTTCTGAAGGTAGAGGCACTTTACGAGTAGTGTGAAGGTGTCGAGCTGAGCGAGCATCACTACTGTTGGGGTAATCACTCTCACTTAAACCACTGACTGCTGCACAACCTGTAGGTAATTACGAATTTGTATTAATGTCGGTAGAATTGCCGACAATATGCTATGTAAAAGGACACAAGTGCAACTAATGTAACATTTTATTGTGGCAACGTTTCACTCTCCAGGAGCTTGATAAAGCTCCTGGAGAGTGAAATGTTGCTACAATAAAATGTTACATTACATATTTGCACTTGTATTATTTTACTTAACAATTATGGATTTAACACACGTAACTACTGGTCCTGCCTCGGTGGGATATGGCTAGTTCATGGAAAAAAATTACTACTGGTATTGATCTTTAACTGATCCACCATATACAATAACAAACATACCATGTATACCACACTATAGCCTGTATTATACAAAGTACAGTTAATTGTCATCACTTCCACAGAACTGAGTTTTTAATGATTGCAAGATATATATTAAAAATATTTTCAATGCATAATATTGTATTACAGTACTAGAGTTAAATTTGAAGCTTGAAGTTGAAATAAGAGCAAACATGCTTTTAAACTTAATATTTTTATGCACATCTGCATATGAGACTAGCAAAAGCAATGAGTAAACAAGTTTATTTAGCTACAGGTGCACATAAGTACAATATCAAGCTGTACAATATCTAGCTGTAAGATACAGTAGAATTCAATCATGCAGTTAAATGGTTATCCACCAGAATTTCACTTCAAGTTTTGATGATCACTGCAACAATTAGTGTTGATATACTGTACATTACTTTTGTTGTAGGAGAGAAGAAAAGTTGACATTTTATTATTAATTACCTTGTGGGGATATTCTGAGCCTATCTAGGAGTGATGGGAAGCTGGAATCATAGCTAAGATGTTTATCTACCAATCTTCCAGCCACCTCCAAATCCTGGAGAGCTCCATCACCGCCTCCGTCCCCGCTCCCAAAATTTAGGGTCGTACTCAGAGTGTTCTGCTGCATCTGAGATACAAAGAAAATTATTAAATACCAGTTCATTTTAAGAAATTATTTACACTGAATACACATACAGTATTTATGAATAACTATTTGGTAATAACTTAGAACTGAGATAGAAATTAATACTGTCCATCTGGCCTAAAAATCATATGGAAATAGTATTACTACATATACATATATGAATATTTCCTACCATCACTCCAATGAAGAACCCTCCTAACAAATAAATAATACTAATTAATAATTGTACCAGCTCTTTGCTGATGACACGGTGCTCTTGGGAGATTCTGAAGAGAAGTTGCAGAGATTGGTGGATGAATTTGGTAGGGTGTGCAAAAGAAGAAAATTAAAAGTGAATACAGGAAAGAGTATGGTTATGAGGATAACAAAAAGATTAGGTGATGAAAGATTAGATATCAGATTGGAGGGAGAGAGTATGGAGGAGGTGAATGTATTCAGATATTTGAGAGTGGACGTGTCAGCGGATGGGTCTATGAAAGATGAGGTGAATCATAGAATTGATGAGGGGAAAAGGGTGAGTGGTGCACTTAGGAGTCTGTGGAGACAAAGAACTTTGTCCTTGGAGGCAAAGAGGGGAATGTATGAGAGTATAGTTTTACCAACGCTCTTATATGGGTGTGAAGCATGGGTGATGAATGTTGCAGCGAGGAGAAGGCTGGAGGCAGTGGAGATGTCATGTCTGAGGGCAATGTGTGGTGTGAATATAATGCAGAGAATTCGTAGTTTGGAAGTTAGGAGGAGGTGCGGGATTACCAAAACTGTTGTCCAGAGGGCTGAGGAAGGGTTGTTGAGGTGGTTCGGACATGTAGAGAGAATGGAGCGAAACAGAATGACTTCAAGAGTGTATCAGTCTGTAGTGGAAGGAAGGCGGGGTAGGGGTCGGCCTAGGAAAGGTTGGAGGGAAGGGGTAAAGGAGGTTTTGTGTGCGAGGGGCTTGGACTTCCAGCAGGCATGCGTGAGCGTGTTTGATAGGAGTGAATGGAGACAAATGGTTTTTAATACTTGACGTGCTGTTGGAGTGTGAGCAAAGTAACATTTATGAAAGGATTCAGGGAAACCGGCAGGCCGGACTTGAGTCCTGGAGATGGGAAGTACAGTGCCTGCACTCTGAAGGAGGGGTGTTAATGTTGCAGTTTAAAAACTGTAGTGTAAAGCACCCTTCTGGCAAGACAGTGATGGAGTGAATGATGGTGAAAGTTTTTCTTTTTCGGGCCACCCTGCCTTGGTGGGAATCGGCCAGTGTGATAATAACAAAATATTCTTCCAAAATAACACTGTGTCCAGGAAATAATTTTTTATTCCATGGTGTAGACAGGTTGCATTGTAATAACAAAGAAGGAACACTGCAGCAGGCCTACTGGCCCAGTAATATATTAGATAATGCCAAACTACCACTGAGGAGCAACCTTCAGTTAAAATTGATGGAGTGAACACTGACTCTAGGTTGAGGAACTGATCACCTCAGTTATGGGCAAGAGGAAAGACTAATAGAGCACCTGGGGTACAGGAGGCAATCAGGTTGGATCTGAGGGGAGGGTAGCTCTAATTCCTTGAATCAAGAGCACTTTACAAGAATCAAGGCACGTCACTGTATAGTCAAATGTTAGAATAAAAGTGTCAGAGGTTGAGATAAACAAAACAATAATCTTTAGTAAACACACGTGTTAGCTACTGATGCTCCATCATAACACAGCCCCTATGTCAGTACAGGCATTAAGTTAAGCTCAGTGTAGGACACATATATGTTGCTTTATATACTGAATGAACTGTCATGATGGTAAAAGTGGCCACAATAGTACACTGGGGAATATTCTCAGTAGCGGGGTCTTACACCCCTGCAGGCCAGAGATTGTATTTTTCCGCCATTATATCATAAAGATGAACAGCAGGACACATGCTGGCGGCTTACTGTGACGTGGGGAAGTAGCGGCGGTAACTTAAAGTAGCATGAAAGGTGTGAGGTGAGCAGAGAGAGATAATAACGTAGAGGAACACAGTTGCCGCCACCACTACAAGACAAACTGTGGCTGTGTTAGTATCCTCACACTGGCCTTGGCTTCACCTTCCTTCACCTCTACATTATACAGCCTTTTTCTTCTTCGTTCTTGCTTTAGTTGCTCCACCTATAAGATGATTCAGCACACGAATCTAACCGCTGGAACACCGTGGACACAAATACCATTGCTAAACTCCACAATAGCCTAAACACTAATAAAACTGCAAGTTCTGCTACCAGCGAACACCACTCATACAGAAAAGAGAAACACCAAGGCAATTATATATCCTAACTCTCCCCACACACTTAGTAACTCCGTTAACTTTATGCAGTATTAAAGCAATTTGCCCAAATACAACACGAAAGGATGTAATTTATGTTTATTTGGAGTTGTCACACTTTCTAGAGGACGTTGGAACGACAGGAAATGCCGTTGGTATTAAGTATTTATTTTTGCATCCAAAATAAGACCTGTTGTTTTATATTCCTTTTCGATTTCTTCGACTTATAAAGTATTTTTTGCAACTTCTGTCAAGTTTTTATTCATGTTGCTAATGCATTTTATAATAATAATGAAACTTATCATATGTGGTGCAACAACCTGGTCAGAAGGCATCCAAAGACTTATAATAAAGATTCAAGTGAGCATAAATTCAGCCTAAAGCATTCTGAATCAAGTTTTACTTGACCTGAAATTTATTATAACATATATTACGACGTTTATACTTTCATGTCGATGTTTTCTCAAAGTGACAGAGGAACTCTGCCACTTGACGTCTAAGAATCTCTCTAGTGTAATGGAGCGCCTGATTCTCACCTAGATACTAAGAAGTATGTTGATCTTGTCTTTAAGGTTCATGTCTTCCCTCTAGGAAGGAGACTAGAGGTTGAGAAGAGGTAATATAGCCAGGTTGTCATACTAAGACCAACTCACCTGTAACAAAGCTGGCCTACCTGGCCTCACCTCCCACCCTGTAGGCCTACCTCGCCATCCTTAGTGATAACTCTCCTGGGTAATATTTATATGATGCGAGTTAGTCAATTCACCAGAGGACAATTATATCAAGAGTAAACACGATGTCAGTGTAAATGTCACACAGACTTCATTGTTATCCTGGGTTATCTATATTATGTAATATTTTGTTCCCACAAAATCTCTGGGCCTCTCCATTTAGAAAATGAAATGTACTCAGAGCCTGAATAAGAATTTGCTTTAATAAGTTATGCAAATTATTGGTACATACTGTTTTTGCAGTGGTCTTGATAGCACATACATGTAAGGCATATAAGTACATTATGTAGATTCGACTTAGGATGACCCAATAAAATTAAATTGTGACTTAGGCAACACAAGTGTCAGGGGCCCAAGACTGTTCACTGCCTCCAGCATATATAAGGGGGATTACCAGTGGACCCCCCTGGCTGTCTTCAAGAAGGCAGTGGACAGGCACCTCAGGTCAGTACCTGACCAGACAGGCTGTGGTTCATATGTTAGTTTGTGTGTGGCCAGCACTAACAGCCTGGAAAAAGACACTTATGTACAGTTCAGGACATTTATTAAAGGAAACGTTTCGCCATGAGTGGCTTCCTCAGTCCTTATAGCGGGTATTAGGACTGGAGAAGCCACGCATGGCGAAATGTTTCCTTTAATAAATGTCCTGACCTGTACATAAGTGTCTTTTTCCACATCTTGTCGGTATCACCATACTAACAGCCTGGTTGATCAGTTCCTGATATACCACAAGGCCTAGTCATGGACTGGGTTGCGGGGGCGTTGACCCCTGGAACACTCTTCAGGTATACTCCAAGTATATTACTACTGGAGTTCTTGCACACTCAGGTATGTAGTAAAATGGTCAGAACAGATCAGTTGGTGTCACTCTTGAGTGTTTGTGATTTAAGCCATGTAGTCATGTACATCATTGAATAATTTAACTCTTAGGAAATTAATTTCTTCTATTAATGGATGGTATATCATGTTGCAGAGGTACTGTTTGGTGCTCAATGTGATTTCATTTAAACTATTTGGTGCAGCTGAAACAGTCCTGATTCTTTGTTGGTTTCTTTACTTTAATTCTTGTCTATGCCAGTACATTTTTGTGCTACTCCTATACTGGGCAAGTGGTGTACTGGTATGAATGTCTTCGAGTCTGGTGCAATTTTTTTTTTTTTTTTTTTTTTGAGGTTCTTTTTCCTCTCTGTTTGCTGGCTCTGCATAATAGTCAAGCACTTTAAGGCATTTCCAGTAGTTTAATTCCTGTACTGGCTCTGTGCTTAATTTTTGTATTTTTTCCAACCTTGATATCTCTCCTTCCTTAACCCTTTGCTGTCGCAAGCCCCTTTCTGTAACTGTTATTCTATGTCTCAAAATTTTTTGGAAATTTTTTTTTTATGAAATGGTAGAGAATCTTTTCCCGATGGTAATGACACCAAAAGTACGAAATTTGGCCGAAAACTCACGGAATTATGCTCCCGTGGAGTTAGTGGTCTCGACATATATGCATCGGTGATTTCGACAACTTTGAGCCCTGTTTTTGGCCAATTTCGTTGTTCCAGTTGACCAAACTCATTAGCTATTTCTTTAGAACTCCATTTTTTCTATCAGTTGAATACAAGAAACTGCCCATTTACCGATTTGAACTACCCGATGAAGAGGTCAGAAATTGTAATTTGGCCAATTTCATGCAAATTAAAAAAGATGCCAATTTCAAAATAGGGTCCGGAATAAACAATGTAGACATTCTTGGCACTAAATAACATATCCTCTGTTTCATTAGTCACTTCTCTAGGCCCCTCTTATATTACTATATTGCTTTCTATTGTGATTTTTTTTATTCATACAAAAAATACAAAATTTACTGTTATGCAGACTACTGCATTATTGTAAAAATGGTATAAATAATATCATTACACTAGTGAAAGAATATTAGACTCCCCAGTTGATGTGTATTGGACACGTGGTGTAATTTGCTTACTCCTGAACATGGGTAAAAATCGAACATTTCCGCTATTTTGAGCTCAATTTCAAGGTCATTTTCATCGTGAAATTAATTAAAATCATCTCTATTTCTCTAATATGTTTTCCATTTTATCTCACGAGACCATGAAAACGAGAATACAACGATAAATACTATACGAAAATACACCTCAGAGTCGCCATTTTAATCCAGAAAAAGGTCGTTTTTTTTTTTCTCATTATGCACTGCATGCTGCAGGATTTTTTTTATATGGTGCACACTGACCACACAGACCCATTCTCTCACATGTGGGCCTACCAGCTTTCTCCTGCTTGATTTGAAGCCGCTAGAATTTACACGTATATATACGTCCAAGACAGTGGCGCGTAATTGTATATATACGACCAAAACAGTCAAAGGGTTAAATGGAAGGAGAAATATCAAGGCTAATGTTGTACAGTATCTCCATCCAGAAGACATGCTCTCCTCTGTTTTATATTCCCTTGTGACTTCCTGGCCTTTCTGTAACACCCTTCGGTGCACAAGTTTCTAGTGTTCTGTTCAATGTACAGTGGACCCCCGCATACCGTTGGCATCACATAACGTTAAATCCGCATACCGATACATTTTATCGCTAAAATTTTGCCTCGCATACTGCTAAAAAACCTGCTCAACGCTATTCGTCCGAGACGCGTCTAATGTGCGGCCTGAGCCAGCCTCACATGTTCCGCCGGTGGCATTGTTTACAAGCCAGCCTCCGCGGTAACATCCAAGCATACAATCGGAACATTTCATATTATTACAGTGTTTTTGGTGATTTTATCTGCAAAATAAGTGACCATGGGCCCCAAGAAAGCTTCTAGTGCCAACCCTGTGGTAAAAAGGGTGAGAAATATTATCGAAATACTGTGGTACCATGGTCAACTGCTGACTGCTGCTGCATGCTGTGCACTGTCAGCTGCCTTTCTGCTGTAGCACTGTTAGCTGCTGCTGCTGCTGTAGCACCGTCAGCTGCTGCTGCTGCTGTACCACTGTCTGCTGCTGCTGCTGCTGTAGTACCGTCTGCTGCTGCTGTAGCACTGTCTGCTGCTGCTGTAGCACCGTCTGCTGCTGCTGTAGCACTGTCAGCTGCTGCTGTAGCACTGTCAGCTGCTGCTGTGAAGCACTGTCAGCTGCTGCTGCTGTAGCACTGTCAGCTGCTGCTGCTGTAGCACTGTCAGCTGCTGCTGCTGTAGCACTGTCAGCTGCTGCTGCTGCTGCACTGTCAGCTGCTGCTGACCGCTGCTGCACTGTCAGCTGCTGCTGCTGTGCACTGTCAGCTTGCTGCTGCTGCACTGTCAGCTGCTGCTGCTGTAGCACCATCAGCTCTGCTGCTGACTGTCGCTGCTGCGTGTGCACCTGTCAGCTGCTGCTGCTAGCTGTCAGCTGCTGCTAGCTGCTGCCTCAGCTGCTGCTGTGCTGACCGTCTGCTGCTGCTTGTAGCACCGTCTGCTGCTGCTGTAGCACTGTCAGGGCTGCTGTAGCACTGTCAGCTGCTGCGTGTGCTGTGCTGCTGCTGCTGCTGCTGTAGCACCATTGTTGGTGTGGCTTATTGAGAATACCAAGAAACAATTAACCCCAGAGGGTTAGCCACCCAGGATAACCCAAAAAAGTCAGTGTCATCGAAGACTATCTAACTTATTTCCATTGGGGTCCTTAATCTTGTCTCCCAGGATGCAAGCCACACCAGTCGACTAACACCCAGGTGAACAGGGAAAAATGCCTGGAACTAGTGCTCATATTGGTGAATTTAAAGCCAGCAAAGGTTGGTTTGAGAGATTTAAGAATCGTAGTGGCATACACAGTGTGATAAGGCCTGTTCTGGAAGAAAATGCCAAACAGGACCTACAGTACTCAGGAGGAAAAGGCACTCCCAGGACACAGTGTTTCATCAGTCATTGCTGCATCTTCAATAAAGGTAGTGTCATTTATTCTTCATTTAGTAGAGTAGTACATGTACAATATATATTGTGCATGTACTACCCTACTATTGTGCATGTATCCTTCTCTTTGTGTGTAGGAAAATGTATATTTCATGTGGTAAAATTTTTTTTTCATACTTTTGGGTGTCTTGCACGGATTAATTTGATTTCCATTATTTCTTATGGGGAAAATTCATTTGCATAACGATAATTTCGCATAACAATGAGCTCTCAGGAACGGATTAATATCGTTATGCGGGGATCCACTGTACACTGTCTAATAAAAAAACTTCCTATGCATGTTCAGTCCTTCTAATTTGTCACATACTTTCCATTCCCCATATTCTTTGAGGGATGTAGACTTTTCTGGGTCTTCCTATTTGTCTTCTAAATACTTCACTGCCATCTTAATATATCGCCACTACATCGTCCTTAGAACCTATCCATCCTCATCCATATTTTTCACTGTGAATAGTCTTTCTTGTTTCCCCACCCTCCTGGTCTTTCTCTTCAGATATATAGATGACTGGCAACATTACCACCTACTATATTTAAAGGCCATCCCTCCCTCCCCTTTCCCCAGGGTATTTCTCACCAGAGACTATTTTTGGAGCATTCCATTGTTCTTACTATCAAGTGCCCTGCAAGGGTTCCATAAGAGCCCATGTTTGTATAGTTATCAGGTTAGCTAAACAAATTTGCTGGCAGGCTTGTGTGTGTGTGCACTCAGGGCTACCACTTCTTTGAGATCAGTATGGAAGAAAGTGCAGAAACTTACAGGCAGATTTTTTCTTAACACAGCTCCTGTACTTACCATTGCTGATGTATAAATAGAAGACCACATAGAAATGGGTGAAGAATTGGTTTGCCATTTCACATACATTTTACAGGGGCCTCATGGGTCCCCTCACTTCATTCTTTCATTGATCTAGGAACTTACACCATGCTTAAAAGGCTTATCCTTATCTTAACAAACTGGTGTGTTAGCAATCTGAATTGAAGCTAATGAAACTGAAACAAATAACTTTTTCATCCTGTTCCAATTATATGTATATATAAATGTATGTATATGTGTATATATATGATGTGCACATATTGCAGGGTAGTGAGGCAGCATGGCATCTAGTTCTGTAAGCCAAGAAGACGTGGATATAGACTTTGAAACTTCTTCGCGTCGTTCTCGCATCCGTACTGCTCGAGCCAGGAACATTAATCCAACATCGCGTCCAGGTAAAGAATAATAGTTGATTAATAAAGGAAGTTTTTTTTTTAGCTCTAATTCATTTCTTATTTTGTTAATTTTAGTAAAAACTGTCTTAAATATTTTAAATACACATATCTGAAAACCTCCTCAGAGATATGGTTGATTACGGGATGTCTTTGCTTCACTCGCCTTATCTTTGCTATCAGTATGCCTCGATTTGCGATAACAAGTCAGTTATATGTTCTTAAGCATCATGGAACCACTGGAAGTGCTTTGTACGTTATCTAATAAGTACAGTATAACTTAAATTGTTTAGATTCTGTGTTATGTGTGTGATTGAATTTTTACATGAAAGGTCAAGCTTAGGTCTGTTCAGGTATAGAGGTGTAAGAGATTGTGTGTTTGGGGTTACAGAAGCAGAACTAAACTAATGGTGGCCCACCAGTAGCAAATAGCTAAATTTTCAGTAACTGGAACGTGTACTAGCTCATCCTTGAATCCCATTTTACCTGTATTATTTTTTATAAAATGTCCTTTACAATCAGTTTCTTAAAGTTCACAATTATTCCTCCCCCCTTTTTTTTTTACTTCAGATAATGCTAAGAAACACTTACATGGGTGTGCAGCATGGGTTGTAAACGCTGCAGCGAGGAAGAGGCTGGAGGCAGTGGAGATGTCGTGTTTAAGGGCAATGTGTGGTGTAAATACTATGCAGAGAATTCATAGTGTGGAAATTAGGAGGAAGTGTGAAGCTAGGAAAAGTATTATACAGAGGGCTAAAGAGGGGTTATTGAGGTGGTTTGGTCATTTAGAGAGGATGGAGAAAAGTAGAATAACTTGGAGGGTGTATTACTCTGTAGTGGAGGGAAGGAGGGGTAGGGGTCATCATAGGAGAGGATGGAGGGAGGGGGTAAGAGGTCTTGTGTGCAAGGGGCCTGGACATGCAGCAGGCATGTGTGAGTGTGTTTGATAGGAGTAAATGGAGATGAATGGTTTTTGGGACATAACGAGCTGTTGGAGTGTGAGCAGGGTGATATTTTGTGAAGGGATTCAGGGAAACCAGTTAGCCGGACTTGAGTCCTGGAGGTGAAAAGTACAATGCCTGCACTTTAAAGGAGGGGTTTGAGATATTGGCTGTTTGGAGTGACATCTAAACTGTCATATATGGCACCTCTGCAAAGACAGTGATTGTGTGAATGATGAAGGTGTTGAATGTTGGTGACTGGTTTTCTTTTTTGGGTTACCCTACTTTGGTGGGAGACGGCTAGCGTGTTGAAAAAAAAAATGTTATGAAATATTTATTTTCTTGTATTCTCTTAAAACCTTTTATGTAGTTATCCTTTTATGTAGGTATCACATCACTGTTTTTTTCCTGTGTAACAAGAGGATTATTTTCACAATTTTCAGTGTTTTATTGTAACACACTATTTATTGGTGTGTGCCAAAGTATCAGTATTATGAGGATCAGCTAGTAATTGTGAAGGTATCAGTGGATATCTGTTATTTTTTTTGTATGGTATCATTAAAACTTTTGGTATCATCTCATCAGTAGTATACATTTCTTAACCCTAGGATCCTTGTTTCTAAACATTATCAATTGTATGCTCTTTTTGCCAAGGAAACATATTACAACATTATATTCCAAGTTTGGTGTAGCATTCAGTGGTATAAATACTTCAGTTAACATTTTACTATCGGTTCCCTGTACAGTGCATCTAAAACCTATTTTAAAGGTTATCGCTAGTGTATTTCTCACTCGTTGCTTGCATTTTAACTCTGGTTGTCATGTACAATCACCATCACTATTTTCCCTAGGTTCATTACCCGACTCATTAGACTAATGCTGCTTTGGGCCTCTGTTGCCCATCCTAGCTCAAGACATCACATTATACCTAGCTCTTGCTGCATAATAGGCCTGGCATTACCATCCTAGCTCAAGGCACCTTACCATTCCTCATACCTAACCTGTACTGCATGACAGGCCTGGCACTGCTATCCTAGCTCTAAGCACCTTATCATGCCTCACTCTCATTACATGATAGGCTTGGCTTTTCTATCCTTGCTATTGGCACCTCTTCATGCCTATCAGAAGCTATCTTGAAATCCACAGATAGTTAAATCAAGTATCTTTATTATGCACCTTGTATGCATCTTGTGGAAAATCCAGATGTATGCCATCTGCCCATTCATTTCTTTCCTGAATATTCCTGAATATATGATATGACTTCACAAGGGTGAAGATATGGGTATAATGGGTTGTTGTAATGCTTTGTAATGTTCATGATATTGTTCAACAGGTGAAGCAGATGAAGAGTGTGAGGGCAGTGAGCGTGATGCTGGCACTGGTGGGGGACTGTTTCCTGGGGCTCCTGACCATGATGCCAGCCCCAAGCCAGCCACCAGACTCAAAGAGAAGAGGATGAACAGGTATGTAGTGCTATATTAGAACTTGTATTCTTCATAAAAGTTTTATTATTTGTATTTTTATATTTTTTTTATATTTTTATTTTGTTTTTATTATTTGTTATATATTATTATACTCTTATTTTTATTTGTATGAAAATACTAAGGGTCACACTGCTTGGTAAATGGGAAGGAATCAGGTTTGATGGAAGGAATAGGAAGCTTCAGTTCCTCAGAGCAAGAGTCCTTCACTAGAGCATTAAGGCCACCCCTCTTGAAGGTTCTCCATAAAAGGCATCAGAAGGTTGTGCACACTTGAGCGAGCCACTACAGCTTAGTTTTACTGCAGTTTCAGAATATAAGTTATTACAGTATACATTTTGTATAGTACAGTATGTGTACTGTACTATGTGGGAAGCAGAATTTGCCTAAGTGTTTCTTTGTGTCTAGGATGAGTCACCCTCTCTTGCTGGGAGTCCTGGAGGTGGGGGAGCAGAGTACCTGCACTCTAGAGGAGGGATAGGGATATTTGCAGTTTGGAAGGGTGAAAAATTTTACATTTAGTTATCTGAACTCTAGTATCCACACACCTCTGGCAGGATAGTGATAGAGTGAATGATGGTGAAAGTTTCTTTTTCAGGTCACCTTACCTCTGTGGGAGATGTCCAGTGTGACAAAATTTTTTTTTTTTTTTTATTATCACACTGGCCGATTCCCACCAAGGCAGGGTGGCCCGAAAAAGAAAAACTTTCACCATCATTCACTCGATCACTGTCTTGCCAGAAGGGTGCTTTACACTACAGTTTTTAAACTGCAACATTAACACCCCTCCTTCAGAGTGCAGGCACTGTACTTCCCATCTCCAGGACTCAAGTCTGGCCTGCCGGTTTCCCTGAACCCCTTCATAAATGTTACTTTGCTCACACTCCAACAGCATGTCAAGTATTAAAAACCATTTGTCTCCATTCACTCCTATCAAACAGGCTCACGCATGCCTGCTGGAAGTCCAAGCCCCTCGAACACAAAACCTCCTTTACCCCCTCCCTCCAACCATTCCTAGGCCGACTCCTACCCCGCCTTCCTTCCACTACAGACTGATACACTCTTGAAGTCACTCTGTTTCGCTCCATTCTCTCTACATGTCCGAACCACCTCAACAACCCTTCCTCAGCCCTCTGGACAACAGTTTTGGTAATCCCGCACCTCCTCCTAACTTCCAAACTACGAATTCTCTGCATTATATTCACACCACACATTGCCCTCAGACATGACATCTCCACTGCCTCCAGCCTTCTCCTCGCTGCAACATTCATCACCCATGCTTCACACCCGTATAAGAGCGTTGGTAAAACTATACTCTCATACATTCCCCTCTTTCCTCCAAGGACAAAGTTCTTTGTCACCACAGACTCCTAAGTGCACCACTCACCCTTTTCCCTCATCAATTCTATGATTCACCTCATGTTTCATAGACCCATCCGCTGACACGTCCACTCCCAAATATCTGAATACATTCACCTCCTCCATACTCTCTCCCTCCAATCTGATATCCAATCTTTCATCACCTAATCTTTTTGTTATCCTCATAACCTTACTCTTTCCTGTATTCACTTTTAATTTTCTTCTTTTGCACACCCTACCAAATTCATTCACCAATCTCTGCAACTTCTCTTCAGAATCTCCCAAGAGCACCGTGTCATCAGCAAAGAGCAACTGTGACAACTCCCACTTTATGTGTGATTCTTTATCTTTTAACTCCACACCTCTTGCCAAGACTCTCGCATTTACTTCTCTTACAACCCCATCTATAAATATATTAAACAACCACGGTGACATCACACATCCTTGTCTAAAGCCTACTTTTACTGGGAAATAATTTCCCTCTTTCCTACATACTCTAACTTGAGCCTCACTATCCTCATAAAAACTCTTCACTGCTTTCAGTCACCTACCTCCTACACCATACACCTGCAACATCTGCCACATTGGTCCCCTATCCACCCTGTCATATGCCTTTTCCAAATCCATAAATACCACAAAGACCTCTTTAGCCTTATCTAAATACTGTTCACTTATATGTTTCACTGTAAACACCTGGTCCACACACCCCCTACCTTTCCTAAAGCCTCCTTGTTCATCTGCTATCCTATTCTCCGTCTTACTCTTAATTCTTTCAATAATAACTCTACCATACACTTTACCAAATATACTCAACAGACTTATCCCCCTATAATTTTTGCACTCTCTTTTGTCCCCTTTGCCTTTATACAAGGAACTATGCATGCTCTCTGCCAATCCTTAGTACCTTACCTCTTCCATACATTTATTAAATAATTGCACCAACCACTCCAAAACTATATCCCCACCTGCTTTTAACATTTCCATCTTTATCCCATCAATCCCGGCTGCCTTACCCCCTTTCATTTTACCTTACTGCCTCACGAACTTCCCCACACTCGCAACTGGCTCTTCCTCACTCCTACAAGATGTTATTCCTCCTTGCCCTATACACGAAATCACAGCTTCCCTATCTTCTTCAACATTTAACAATTCCTCAAAATATTCCCTCCATCTTCCCAATACCTCCAACTCTCCATTTAATAACTCTCCTCTCCTATTTTTAACTGACAAATCCATTTGTTCTCTAGGCTTCCTTAACTTGTTAATCTCACTCCAAAACTTTTTCTAATTTTCAACAAAATTTGTTGATAACATCTCACCCACTCTCTCATTTGCTCTCTTTTTACATTGCTTCACCACTCTCTTAACCTCTCTCTTTTTCTCCATATACTCTTCCCTCCTTGCATCACTTCTACTTTGTAAGAACTTCTCATATGCTAACTTTTTCTCCCTTACTACTCTCTTTACATCATTCCACCAATCGCTCCTCTTCCCTCCCTCACCCACTTTCCTGTAACCACAAACTTCTGCTGAACACTCTAACACTACATTTTTAAATCTACCCCATACCTCTTCGACCCCATTTCCTATGCTCTCATTAACCCATCTATCCTCCAATAGCTGTTTATATCTTACCCTAACTGCCTCCTCTTTTAGTTTATAAACCTTCACCTCTCTCTTCCCTGATGCTTCTATTCTCCTTGTATCCCATCTACCTTTTACTCTGTGTAGCTACAACTAGAAAGTGATCTGATATATCTGTGGCCCCTCTATAAACATGTACATCCTAAAGTCTACTCAACAGTCTTTTACCTACCAATACATAATCCAACAAACTACTGTCATTTTGCCCTACATCATATCTTGTATACTTATTTATCCTCTTTTTCTTAAAATATGTATTACCTATAACTAAACCCCTTTCTATACAAAGTTCAATCAAAGGGCTCTCATTATCATTTACACCTGGCACCCCAAACTTACCTACCACACCCTCTCTAAAAGTTTCTCCTACTTTAGCATTCAGATCCCCTACCACAATGACTCTCTCACTTGGTTCAAAGGCTTCTATACATTCACTTAACATCTCCCAAAATCTCTCTCTCTCCTCTTCATTCCTCTCTTCTCCAGGTGCATACACGCTTATTATGACCCACTTTTCGCATCCAACCTTTACTTTAATCCACATAATTCTTGAATTTACACATTCATATTCTCTTTTTCTCCTTCCATAACTGATCCTTCAACATTACTGCTACCCCTTCCTTTGCTCTAACTCTCTCAGATACTCCAGATTTAATCCCATTTATTTCCCCCCACCGAAACTCCCCTACCCCCTTCAGCTTTGTTTCGCTTAGGGCCAGGACATCCAACTTCTTTTCATTCATAACATCAGCAATCATCTGTTTCTTGTCATCCGCACTACATCCACGCACATTCAAGCATCCCAGTTTTATAAAGTTTTTCTTCTCTTTTTTAGTAAATGTCTACAGGAGAAGGGGTTACTAGCCCATTGCTCCCGGCATTTTAGTCGCCTCATACGACACGCATGGCTTACGGAGGAAAGATTCTTTTCCACTTCCCCATGGACAATAGAAGAAATAAGGAAGAACAAGAGCTATTTAGAAAAAGGAGAAAAACCTAGATGTATGTATATATATATGCATGTGCGTGTCTGTGAAGTGTGACCAAAGTGTAAGTAGGAGTAGCAAGATATCCCTGTTATCTAGCGTGTTTATGAGACAGAAAAAGAAACCAGCAATCCTACCATCATGCAAAACAGTTACAGGTTTCTGTTTCACAGTCATATATATAATGTTAAAATATATAATGTTAAAAAAATATATAATGTATTTTAAAAATGTGTATATATGATCCAAAAAAGAAAGAAACACTTTCACCATCATTCACACACAATCACTGTCTTTGCAGAGGCACTCAGATACAACAGTTTGGGTGTCACTCCAAACAGTCAATATCCCAAACTACTACTACAAAATGCAGGCAATGTACTTCCCATATTTACACACACACATGTATACATACCATATACTCCACCATAAAGACGCCCAAATGTTGCATATGTTTTATTCATCTACTTATCAATTTACAAACCATTGATTTAAAATATTTTTTTAAGTCTTCAGGATAAAGTGTCTGATAAGAAAATTGGAATGCTTGTAGTATTATCAAACTGACTTGTTTATATAGCAACTAGTACAGTATTATTTGTCCTTATAAAAAGTGATTTACAAAAGAACCTGTATAATATTGAACTATACTACAGTAATTACTACATCTTTCTAATGTTTATTTTTTATTTTTACAATTTAGTCTGTTGATGAATTGTTTTTCATTTAATAAACGTAATTTTAACGTCGGTGCATGTAAAACAAAATTGTCAGCGCACGATGTACAGTTTCGCTTCTCTGCCACTCGATAGACCTAACCACACCAACAAAGGAAAGCAGCAGAGAGATCGACGAAAACTGCGCGAGAAGAGACGAAGCACCGGTGTTGTTCACCTTCCCTCTACAGAGGTAAGAAAACAATGCCACACTTAGATTTATTTTGTGTGTGTGTGTGTGTGTGTGAGTGAACATTAATTCATATGCATGAATGTGTATGAATCGCTGAATGGAAGTATGTCTTTCCATTTGCAGAAATAAGCTTTGTTTGGGGTTCCATTTAGTGGCATGGTTACCTTTCTCCTCAGTTGTTGCAGTGCAATAATTGAACAATTGTCTGTATACAGTACTTGGTATAATTAATGTCTCTTATGTGTAGGTATTCTTCACCATAGAACTTCATGTTTTATATTTTAATATTAATATACAGTAGACTGTTATATTACATGGTAGTTACATTCTTGAAAACGCCATGTTAGGTAAAACCGTGTTAGATAAACTGAAGAACTTTTGGGAAAAATAGGGTTATGTTCAAGGGAGCCCCCAAAAAACTAAACTTTTTTGTAGACCAACAGATCTTACAAAAATAAAAGTGAATATGTAATTATAGTTCATTGTCATGATATATTATATTTTTACTGCTTAAGACTACAAATGCAACAGAAATAATAGTATTTCTTACCTTTAATTGTGGTTACTGGTGTTTGTGGATGATTGTGAAGAGAGTGGAGATGCATGGTTTGGCCCTACTGGGCTGAGGTGAATGGTTGTTGGTTGTCAGCAGAAGTGGATGGTAGAGGTTCTGGTACTAAAGTCGATGGTTATGTTAGAGTGTGCATAAATTCTGTAATGGATCTCTGGGCTCTTATACCCTGCAGTATATTATACAGCTGATGGAAAGGCATCATCATATGGTCTAGACCCTGTTTCAAAGTACTGCTTCTAGATTTGCCAGGGTCCTTTTCATTGAAAAAGTCTGTTAGTTCAGCACCAACATGGAACTGCTCACATAACTGCTGCAGTGTTAACTGTTTTTCTTCAGGTTTCCTTGTATCTGTGCATCAAGCTCTGCCAACATTTCCTCTGGACTCCTGTCTTTATTATCATCATCATAATCATCTAAGAGCTCATTCACATGTTCATTCATATCTGCAAAACCATCACCTGGTAATCTCTTTGCCAGCTGAACAATTTCCTGAACCTGACTCAAGCACAGGAAAGCCAGTGACTGGTTTGACCTCCAAATTACTGGTAAGGTGTTTTTATCTACACCTTTCAAAGCGTGAGGATTCTTAGAGTGGTAAATAACCATGGGCTTACACTTGAAATCACCTGACGCATTACCGCAAGGGATTAAGGTGAAGCAATCATTTGCTATCTTGAAACCCAGTGCACTTTTCTTTTGCTGACTGATATAAGTTCTTGTTGGCATTTTCTTTCAGAAAATACTTGTCAGCATTAAACACTTGATGTGGCTCATAGCCACCCTCAGAAATAATATCCTGCAATTCAGCAGGAAAATTACTTGCTGCTGTATGATCAGCTGAAGTACTTTCACCAGAAAACTTAATATTATGTAACTTATTATGCAACTTAAAGTTGTGGGACCAGCCTGTGTTAAACATGCACTTTTTCAGGCCTTCCTTATCACACACTGCTTTAAACAACTATAAGGCCTTTTCCCTGATTAAGATGAAATTAAGTAGTGCACCTTTCTTTGTTTTTTGTTCGATCCACTCGAGCAACAAATTTTCAGTTTTATTGTTGTGATCTAAATGCATGAGATGACATCCTGGGATATTTATTACACAAGCTTGTATATTCACCTCATTCTTTTTAATTGTACAAACTGACACCCACACTATATCCACCACAACTGAACCACTCTTAAGCTTGTCTGGTATCTCGATTTTCTTCATAACTCCTAGACTTAAACACTTAAACCTTTTCTTGCCGTTTTCAGCAACACTTGTATGCCTACTGGGTACCGTGATTGCTTGGCAGATACAAGATATGGCAATTAAAAGATCTAAACTGAATCCAGACACAAAATAAGCACAGCTTCATCCTAGCTGTGTTGGGGAAGTACCCTGCGGGCGACGCTCCAGATTTTTCCCCTCCCGTAAACCAAGCCATGTTAAGTTAATTTTACGAAGTGTTGTATAAAATTGTGCCACAATTTTTCAATAGTGCAATAACCAAAATGTGCCAAATAAAACCATGTAATATAACGGTCTGCTGTACTGTACGTATTTAAATTTTATAATCAGTTGGTTCTGAGAACTTCCCTGTAAACTCTGCAGCTGACTTCTTTTTTTTACTCATTAGTTACCTTATTTTTACACTGTTAAATTGTTTTTTAACAATTTTGGGGGGTTAAATTAAAGTTTTGTCTTTTATCTCTTATTTGTAGTAGAATGCAAGAAAATTTAAAACTAAGGGAATTCCATACTGAATTGCTCAGTTTGCGTACAGTACTCGTGGTACAAATAAAAAAAAAAGAAAAATTTATCTCAAATTATCCTCATTTTGTGAAGATTATTAAATATCAGGGAATTTGACAGGTTAAGTCTTCTGTCTTTTAATACCACTCCTAGGAACATTTGACAAGTTAGGTCTTCTGGTAATCTTGATACCACTCCTGAAGGATATTTCCTACTGAATTCTTGATGCAATTATTTTCAAGATACCAGCATCCCTGACTCCACCTAACAGGTGGCTGTTGAAGTAATGAAAGTGATCCACAGAATGTAGTTTTTCATGCTTCAAAATTTTCATATTTTTTTTTTTTTTTTTTTTTTTGGCCCATTCTCTGAAGTATTTGTCTTGTCGTTCAATCTTGTCTTTCCTGGTGCTGTATGCTGTCCCATTCAGAATTTAGAATTTAGCTTAGTTTATTCGACATATCCTCTGCATTGCTCTATCTAGTAGTTCATTTCATTTGACGTTACTGATATCTTGACACACCTCAAATTTTGCTGCTCTCCTGCTAAGATTCTTGGAGTTTTGCTTTGAATCTGTGTTTATTTAAAATCGGATAATGTGTTCACGGTTCCTTAGTTTTTTACCCACCTTTCCTGAGTGAATAAGGTAATTATTCATGGTTAGAATAAAACTCTGCTTTCTATCATATTGACTAATCAGGTAGTTTTTCCAATCTGTTAATTTGTTCAAATTTATGTAAAAATTAATAGTCATATTCCACTAGTACTACATCGTTATTATATTTAATTATAATTTAATTTTGCATATATGAGGGTTTTATTTTCTTTTGTGTTTTGGAGAACAGTTAACTATCCTTCGCATAATTTTAAAATTTTCGCTACAGTGAATTTCAACGTACATGGAATTGTACCCTTCATCTTGTTTTTGGATTCCAGACAGACATGACTGCTTACCCGAACATATTTCATCTCAGTTTGCAAGGTGAGGAGCAGGTTGTTTCCCAGCTGGTGGGAACACATTGAAGCATTGCACGAGAAACTGCACCTGTTTACTGGGTCTCAACAACAATCTCACCCACTTTTCTTTTTTGCAATTATTTGCTGGCAGGATAGCACTTCAGAATTTTTGAGTTTCATGGAAATAATTGAAGAAAAAAAATTCTTGAGTTTCTAAAGTGATTTGCAGGCTATCATTCATGGCTGTTATCAGTCTAATAGAGAGTGCAGTTGAGGAAACTACAAGATTTTTAGCTGGAGTTATTGGTGTGAGAGCCACAGTTTAACCTTTTTTTATGCACTCTAAATGTGCTACCTGTTTTGAAGGATATTTTATTACAAAAGCACATTTTTCTGATAAAGCTTATGAAATTCAAGATCAAACAGGATGGGGAACACTCAGCATGTGCCTTAGGCTTAAACAGTGCAGATGAATATTTATTTTCTAGGCACTTTTAAAAATGAAACCTTCAACCAGTGTTCTTAACAATAGTTAAGACACAAACCCAAGTCCTACCTAAATGTTATATTTAAAAACATGGCCAACATAGGGAGTACTGGTAGGGCTACCTTGCTTTAAGGTAGAGATGGAAGTATGTATTTATATAAGAAATGTGGATGTGAGAAGAATGAGAAATAGTTACGGTAGTTGTGGACAAATATAATGGAGCATAATAATAGTGGACAGCTGGAAGCAATGGATAATGACAAGTTTATAATTTGGACTAGCAAGGTAGATGCAAGAAATGAAAGTCCAAAATCAAGTAGAAGGATTTGATAAAAGAGAGAAGGATGAAAGTGTGGAAGTGCTCAGAGCTATGTAAAGAGAGAGAGAGCATTGTCAGTTTGGAGGAACACTGAGCTGTATCAAGATAAGTCTCGTGAAAATTTGGCTTGCCACCCCCTTTTACATGATAGAAAAATGCATTAACTAAAGAAAGATATATTTTTTCTAGTATATTTTGCATAAAACCTGGTAACTTACATTTCGTGATTTTAAATGTAAACCTATTGATTTTTTAAACACTTTGTGTCCCTGAAGTGTTAAAAAGGATTGTTTTCAGGCCTTTTATATGTATTTATCTATTGCAGTTGCCTTTTTTAACATAATATAAAGGCAAGATGGTTAACCACTATTGCTTGAACATATTACTAACAATGTCTTGTTGTGAAAGAACATTAGTTATTTATACTAAGCAATCTTTAGTGTGAAATAACAGGAGTTTTTTATAATATTTATGTAATATTGCATTCAAAAATTTAAAGTACTTATTTGCATGCTTATTTACATCAGTTTTTGAAGAGAGGCTATTTGCGCCCACAGTCTACAGGCGGCAGCACTGGTGAGGATGAAGAGCTATTGTCCATGACAGCTGAGACACGCCGCAACACACACTACAATGAGCACCCAGAGAAGGAGAGAAATGTTACAGGATCTGGTGACTATCATCACTCTTCTGCTCCTGGTCCTGCAGTCATGGCTGACCATAAGCACAAGAAATCATTTACAAGTCATAGAAATAAAAGGTTTGTTACAAACTTGTAGTTTATAGAATGTCAAACAGTGAAACAGCTTTGTGCATGTGTGCGTGTGTGTGTGTGTGCATGCGTGTATGCGTGTGCGTGTGTGCACGTGCACATGTGTGCGCTTGTGTGTGTGTGCACATGTGTGCACGCTCTCCTATATGTGGTTGCATGGGTCGAGTCTCGGCTCCTGGTGTTTTTGTGCGTGTTCAAGTGTGCGTTTCATTGTAGTATAAAGGATGTATAAATTGTTATTAATTTGTTAGAAAAAATCACAAGATGGTGGTCTTAATTGTGTGATGACCTACTCGCTTATTACGAGCATCTACGTAAATACTTCTCCACTACATGATTTTTGGATTATCTTTGTCAGCTTCAGTAATAATTCTTTATGATTTAGTCATCCCTTATTTAACCCCTTCAGGGTCCAAGGCCAAAATCTGAAGTGGTGCTCCAGTGTCCAAGAAATTTTGAAAAAAAAAAATTATTTTTTCTTACAGAATTAAAGAGCATATTTTTGTGAAGGTAATAAGACAAAAAAAAAATTTCTGATCAGTACTTACCGAGATATAGTGCCAAAAAGTTTGTCCAAAATGATGTGGTGGCGGCAACATCGACGAATTCCACATACGCGCATTACTTTATTTAGCGGTTTTTATAGTTTTTTCTTTTCTTTTCCAATTTTTTTCTTTTCCTACTAACATTTGGGGCCTGAGAGACCAATACTGTATATAATGTATATATATAAACTCACTGTATTGAACACAATAACCGCACTAAAGTTATTATCATATTATTGTTTACCACTGTTGTTTATTACAATAAACATGCACAAATCTTGTATAATACTAATGTTCTATCATATATTTACAATCACTGGACATGGTTTTAGAACTGCTGGAGCTTGTGGAACTCCTTGAAACAAGGCACCATGCACAGAGGCACCTTACATTCCTCACACTTAAACAGAGTGTCTTTGCGTCTTTGTTGCCGTCGTTTTGTTTGTGCACAGACGATGCATCTCTTCTGAGCAAATTTCTTCTGAGTTGAAGGAAGCTGTATTATGAAATGATCACCTTCCCTCCTCAAACGCTTGGGTATATCCTGAGTAATTCAAGGACCTTGTTGTATAGCAGGTGTTCTTACCTGGTTCTTCATTATGAGTTGTCTGACAACAGACAAACAAAATTCACCATACGGTGGTCTGTTGCCAGTCTTTATGTGGTACATATTATATGCATTGAGCATTGAAATGTCCATGAGATGGAAGAAAAGTTTCATGTACCACTTGTAACTCTTATGAACACAATCAACAAAACCAATCTTCATGTCACATTTGTCAACCAAGCGCATGTTTTGTGTATAATCAATCACTGTCACTGGTTTTCGAATACGTTCATTAGTCACTCTATCAACTTTGCCACTGTCTTGCATTTCATTACAGTGAATGGTTGTCAACAATGTGATATCTCGTTTGTCATGCCACCATAATGCCATGATGTCATTGGCAGTAAACACCTGCACGTCATCACCATGAGCACCTGCGTTGAGCCTGGGCATATGTTTACGATTAGAACGCACTGTGCCACACACATCTGTCTTGTTCACTCGCATGAAATCACTGAGTAATGGGCTTGTGTACCAGTTATCGGTATATAATGTATGCCCCTTACCAAGATAAGGTGCCATCATGTTTCTCACTACGTCACCCGAGATACCCAATAACATCTTGGTATCTTTCAATGTTTTACTTCCCGTGTATACAATAATATCCAACACCAGGCCACTGTCACAGTCACAGGGTACAAACAGTTTTATACCAAAGCGTTTCCTCTTGCTCGGTATATACGGTATATATACATTTCTGCAACAGTCATCTCTTTCCACCTGTGTAGTCTTGACTGTTGTGATATGATCATATTTGCCATGGTGTACTCAAAATACTTATTACTTTCCCTGACAATAGTTTCCATCAATGGCTGGTCAAAGAATAATTCAAAGAATTCCAGTTCATTGGCCGTGGTTCCAAGGGGACAAGTGGGTAGAATTCCACTTTGAGAGTCATCAAAGTGGTGGGGCTGGAGAACAAATTGGGATTTTGCTGCCAATCCCAGATACAGTTTGCTGGTGGATACTGGACATCATAGGCTGGTTGTGCAGGTGGTTGTGGTTCTGGTGGGCTGGTGGTGACGCTCATGCTTTGTCCTTGAATGACAGTCAGCAGTGTGGGTCCAGCCTGGTGGTGAGTCACACTGGCAGTGCACTACCATCACCACTACCACACTACTGATGCCTGTGGTCTATTCCATGCAGTGTAGCCACATCACTCACTATCACTATCTAAACCTGGTGTAGGCCACGGGATGTACTTCCGTCCCTGGCACAGCATAGGTACACTACCCGAGCGCATGCGGCGGCGAACATACCGACACTTCACTGGTGAATATGATTCCTCACTATCATACTGAATGATGTCAAGCGCAATAAAATCACAATCCACGTCACTATCGTCATCATTACTGAAGTCAGAGGCCTGGCCATGCGAAAATATTAGTTTTCCTTGCGTTGAGGCACAACCGACCGTGAGTCACAAGTGCCCACACCAGAGGTAGAAGGTTGAGGATCGTCAGGGTTTTCTGCACTATTATCGATATCCTGGTCATTCCTTTCGGTCTCTAACTGATCAAAACCATAGAATTCGTCTTCATTTCCACTTCCATCAGTGTCAGAACTATCAGATAGGAAGAGGAGAGTCCCAATTTTCCGGGGAGTGAGAGCTGACTTGCGACGAGGCATGGTGAACAAGGGTAACTGAGCCGGCGTTCCCACAATGCTATGCAGGCTCCTAGATTTTTTGTTTATGGCACACACCCACCACGCAGACCCGTTCTCTCACAAGTAGGCCTATGAGCGCTTTCGCGCTAAATTTGACGGCGCTAGAATTTTGGCGTAGATCTACGGTTTGGACACTCAACGTGAAGCCGTAGATCTACGGTATGTATGGTGTGTTAATAACATACCCTTTCAGGGTATGTTAACCCTGAAAGGGTTAACATACAAATTCTTGTTTTCATAGATTAGTTGTTTGATTGTGAATGTTAAATGGGAGGTTTTCCTGGATTTCCATATCTGCAGCTAGAAATTACAATGTACTGTACATTGTATTTTTATTTACTTGGTTCGGAGTTTTTTTTTTTTTTTTTTTTTTTTTTTTTTTTTTTTGCTGCTGTGTCCTCTGTATACTAGTTAATTGTTTGAATGCTAACTCATTTAGTACATAAGTCATAATACTGTAACTGGAACATTAAGCTACATGTTCATGCATTCTAGATCAGGTGACTGTCATGATTCAAGGTAGACCAAAACATCATCAGTAGTTTACTGTATAAAATTTGGATTATTTGATTTTTTAGTACAGAAAACCTTCCAAATGAAAAATTCTGCAACCAGCAGACATTGTCCACTGTTACCAGTTTTAGTTCAATATTTCTGAAGTCTGTTAAGTGGGGGTCCATGAAATGAAGGGTTTACTGTATAGTGTATTACATACGTTTCTCTGTTTCTGTTAAGCATGCAGTATTTAGGTCTGTGTTTTTCCTAGCCCCCATAGTCGTTGAATAACCCATTTGTTTCCATGTACAGGTCTATAATAGCTTTACAAATTTATTTATTACTTTATGTTCACCCTGGCTATTCTCATATATTTGTAAATTACAGTAACTTATATTTTGTTTCATTTAATGGTTATATTTTCAGAGGCTCCTATTTGGTATTCCTTGTTTGATGTACTGTTATGTTCACAGGTATTCCTGGTTCAATTACCATATGAAAAAAAAGCTTTTTCTCTTTATTCTTATTTTTGCTTTTTCATGATAGTAATGGGCTTAAAATATTTTGTCTTAAATTCCTAGAATTCCATTAACATTAAGAAATTTATTCTTTAGTGGTCCATTTGTTCTTCCATTGTATTTGCCTGTACAGTACTTACATAATCTCTGCTACTATGAGAAATAAGTGTACTGAATAGAAATGCATCACTAAACAGATGGAGTGAACCTCCACTATATCTTGCGCTGAGTTACCCAGATGGGTTTAGCATTTCACATGAATATTTTTTTTTAATTAGGTACAGTACATCTTTAGACTAAATCCTTCTACTGTAATTCATTTGCTGCGAATTCTTTTATTTTTTTATCTGTCTATCCAAGGTTTTATATTTCTCATTCCTTACTGCCAAGATCACTGTTCTGTCTCTTCCATTAACTGATATTAATTTGCAATCTCATTTTATTAATCTCTAAACTTATGTTACTATTAGTTTCTTTTACCTTTTCTTACTTCTGTTTTAGGTATCTCTGGTCACTTGTTGTAAGGTTGATGCTCTCCATGTGTTATAAAGAATGAAGTAGGTAATATATTATAACAGTCCCTTGTAAGCTGTATTATTTTCTTGGCTTAAAAGTCGTGTATTTTAAATTCCTTTCCAAAACTATTACAGTCCAAGTGATCTAGAAGCAGATGACGAAGACAACCAAGATTATGACTCACTGACAATGAGCGACTCCACTCTATCTCTCGTCCAACCTGCTTCCTCAGCCATAACAAGCATTCATCCCTCTAATACTCTCCAGACTACTCGTCAGCCATCAAATGGTCGGCCTGCAACACCAACCTCTGAAAGTGTAGATGAAGTAGGTTATGTAATAGTAACGGGTTAGTATACTGCAGCTACTGCATAAGGCTAAGGTTGCCTTGTGCAGTAGCTGCATTCAGGGCATGAGTATTCTAATCTTGGGTCGTGAACACTTAATTTGTCAATAAGGGGATCCTTAGTCTTTGAGGTGGGAAGTACAGTGCCTGCCTCCACCTTGAAGGAGGGATGGAGATGTCATTCAGAGGATCATTTGAATTGCAATGTCTGTGCACTTCTAGTAGGACAATTATTGCATTAATGGTGAGGGGGTCTCTATTTTTCAGGTCACTCTACCTCTGTTTGAGTTGATCAGCGTGTTAAAAAAAAAAATAGGGAGCGTTGTTCTTTGCAAATTACACAGTTAATGAGTGGTAGACATGGAGCATCACATGAAAGTAAATTTTCATATAGCAAATGCTCATAAAGCAGAGGATTACTATGTTTTACTGTCTAGTATATTTTGTACACTACTGTTGGCAAGGTTTCATAGTAAACAAAGATTAACAAATGCATAAGTAAAGCCACTTATCTATGATGCAAGGGGTACTTTACTGTTTATTGCTGATCATGAGTTCACCCTCTTTACAGCATTTAGTAACTTAACCCCTATTCCATATACTTGCAACGTCTGCCACATTGCTCCCCTAACCACTCTATCACATGCCATTTCTAAATCCATAAATGCAATAAAAACTTCCCTACCTTTATCTAAATACTGTTCAATATGCTTCTATGTAAACATTTGATCTACACATCCCCTACCCACTCTAAAACCTCCTTGCTCATCTGCAGTCCTACATTCTGTCTTGCCTCTAATTCTTTCAGTTATAACCCTACCATACACTTTTCCTGGTATACTCAGTAAACTTCTTTCTTTCAGCACACCAGCCATATCCCACCGAAGTGGGGTGGCCCAAAAGGAAAAACAAAAGTTTCTCCTTTTACATTTAGTAATATATACAGGAGAAGGGGTTACTAGCCCCTTGCTCCCGGCATTTTAGTCACCTCTTACAACACGCATGGCTTACGGAGGAAGAATTCTGTTCCACTTCCCCATGGAGATAAGAGGAAATAAACAACAACAAGAACTAGAAAGAAAATAGAAGAAAACCCAGTGTATATATACATATATATGCTTGTACATGCATGTGTAGTGTGACCTAAGTGTAAGTAGAAGTAGCAAGACGTACCTGAAATCTTGCATGTTTATGAGACAGAAAAAAAAGGACACCAGCAATCCTACCATCATGTAAAACAATTACAGGCTTTCGTTTTACACTCACTTGGCAGGACGGTAGTACCTCCCTGGGCGGTTGCTGTCTACCAACCTACTACCTAGGACTCAGTAAACTTATTCCTCTATAATTTTTACAATCTCTTTGGTCCCCCTTCCCTTTATATAAAGGGACTATACATGCTCTCTGCCAATCCCTAGGTGCCTTTCCCTCTTTCATACGTTTATTAAACAAAAATACCAACCACTCCAACACTATATCCTCCCGGCTTTTAAAATTTCTGTCATGATCCCGTCAGTTCCAGCTGCTTTACCCCCTTTCATTCTACGTAATGCCTCACGCATCTCCCCCACAATCACATCCTGTTCTTCATCACTCCTAAAAGATGGTATACCTCCCTGGCCAGTGCATGAAATTACCGCCTCCCTTTCTTCGTCGACATCTAAAAGTTCCTCAAAATATTCTCACAATCTACCCAAAACCTCCATCTCCCCATCTACTAACTTCCCTACTCTGTTTTTAACTGACAAATCCATTTGTTCCCTAGGCTTTTTTAAATTGTTTAACTCACTCCAAAATTTTTTCTATTCATTAAAATTTCTTGACAGTGCCTCTCCCACTCTATCATCTGCTCTTCTTTTCCACTCTCTTCACCTTTTCTTTACTCTCCATATACTCAACTCTTCTTATAACACTTCTACTTTGTAAAAACCTCTCATAAGCTAACTTTTTCTCTTTTATCAAACTCGTTGCTTCATCATTCCACCAATTACTCGTCTTTCCTCCTGCACCCACCCTCCTATAACCACAAACTTCTGCCCCACATTCTAATACTGCATTTTTAAAACTATTCCAACCCTCTTCAACCCCCCACTACTCATATTTGCACCAGCCCACCTTTCTGCCAATAGTTGCTTATATCTCACCTGAACTTCCTCCTCCCTTAGTTGATACACTTTCACCTCCCTCTTGCTTGTTGTTGCCATTTTCGTCTTTTCCCATCTACCTCTTACTCTAACTGTAGCTACAACTAAATAATGATCTGGTGGTCTGGTGGCTAAAGCTCCCGCTTCACACACGGAGGGCCCGGGTTCGATTCCCGGCGGGTGGAAATTCCGACACGTTTCCTTACACCTATTGTCCTGTTCACCTAGCAGCAAATAGGTACCTGGGTGTTAGTCGACTGGTGTGGGTCGCATCCTGGGGGACAAGATTAAGGACCCCAATGGAAATAAGTTAGACAGTCCTCGATGACGCACTGACTTTCTTGGGTTATCCTGGGTGGCTAACCCTCCGGGGTTAAAAATCCGAACGAAATCTTATCTCTTATCTTATCTTACATCAGTTGCCCCTCTATAAACGTGTACATCCTGAAGCCTACCCATCAACCTTTTTTCCACCAATACATAATCTAACAAACTACTTTCATTACATGCTATATCATACCTTGTATATTTATTTATCCTCTTCTTCATAAAATATGTATTACTTATTACCAAACCTCTTTCTACACATAGCTCAATTAAAGGCTCCCCATTTTCATTTACTCCTGGCACCCCAAATTTACTTACTACTCCCTCCACAACATTTTTGCCCACTTCAGCATTGAAATTCCCAACCACCATTACTCTCACACTTGGTTCAAAACTCCCAACGCATTCACTCAACATTTCGCAAAATCTCTCTCTCTCCTCTACACTTCTCTCTTCTCCAGATGCATATACGCTTACTATAACCCACTTTTCACATCCAGCCTTTATTTTACTCCACATAATCCTTGAATTAATACATTTATAGTCCCTCTTTTCCTGCTGAGGTGGTTTAATCATTTAGAGAGAAATGGATCAAAGTAGAATGACATGGAGAGTGTATAAATCTGTAGGGGAAGGTAGGCAGGGTAGGGGTTGTCCTCGAAAAGGTTGGAGGGAGTGGGTAAAGGAGGTTTTGTGGGCGAGGGGCTTGGACTTCCAGCAAGCATGCGTGAGTGTGTTAGATAGGAGTGAATGGAGACGAATGGTATTTGGGACCTGACGAGCTGTTGGAGTGTGAGCAGGGTAATATTTAGTGAAGGGATTCAGGGTAACTGGTTATTTTTATATAGCTGGACTTGAGTACTGGAAATGGGAAGTACAGTGCCTGCACTTTAAAGGAGAGGTTTGGGATATTGGCAGTTTGGAGGGATATGTTGTGTATCTTTATACGTATATGCTTCTAAACTGTTGTGTTCTGAGCACCTCTGCAAAAACAGTGATTATGTATGAGTGAGGTGAAAGTGTTGAATGATGATGAAAGTATTTTCTTTTTTGGGATTTTTTCTTTTTGGGTCACCCTGCCTCGGTGGGAGACTGCCAACTTGTTAGAAAAAAAAATCAACACGTCTGTCGTCTCCCACCGAGGAAGGGCGACCCAAAAAGAAAGAAAATCCACAAAAAGAAAATACTTTCATAATCATTCATTGATTTATATTTCAAATTTTATACCATATCAAATTTTGCTACAGTATCTCATTGGTATGCACAGTACAGTAGTATGTGGGGATACAAGTGCTTGAGGATTATTTATTGCATGTAAATAATTTTGTTAACCCCTTCTCCTGTACACATTACTAAAGTTAAAAAGAGAAACTTTCGTTTTTCTTTTTGGGCCACCCTGCCTCGGTGGAATGCAGCCGGTTTGTTAAAAAAAGAAATATTTTTTTGTTAACGAGTTAAATTTTGTATTACAGCTTTTGGAGAGTGCACGAGAGGAAAACAGACGCTTGCTGGGCTTACTGGAAGAGCGTGATCGTCGCATATCTTCCTTAGAGTCTCGCCTGTCTATACTGACTGGAGAGCTCACTCAGGCATGTACTGAACGTTCTAACCTACGGCAGGAGAATACTGCCCTAATACGGGCCATGGCCTCTCTTACTGCTAAGTAGTCCTTGCATTGTAATGTTTACTAACAAAACGCACTTATGCCGTTTCTTTGGCTGTTACACAAATAAGGCAGTGATTTGGTACTTAAGTAATATGTAATTTGAGTTGTCTTGTAGAAATATATATGGAGTATTACAGGGTTCTGCAGGCTAAGACCATCCACTCATGGCCCAGGAGAGTGCACTACAATTTCATGTAGTTCACACTGCTGCCACAGATATAACCTATGCATGGGCATTGCATAACAATGTTTTTACAACACAATCTTTTGAGGGTAAAATACTGCAGAAAAAATCGAATAGTGTATGGTATTACAATAAATACTTTAAAGTAATCTTGGCATCACAGAAAGAAATGGAAACGTAGTTCCCAAGCTCTTGTATATCTAGGTCTCCTTAGGATAAAGATTGGCAGTGATTACTTTCCTTTGAGATATTTAGGTACATATTATATTCCATGGAACCATTGTTGATAATTAATGTGATAATTTGTATTAGTATCACGATTAGTTTGGTTTTAATTTTAACGAAAGTTCTACAGGAAATAGAAGTACAGTACTGGTATATTAAGCTTGGCTTCGTTCCATAAATTAGTAAATTATATAATTGTAAGCCATTAGATAGTTCACTGTAGTGTTATCCTTGGTGGACTACTCAGCTTTTTTGTGTATAACTGTTCTCGTATATAATTCTTTATTTAGGTCATTTAGGCCATAAAATTGCTCAGCAGCTACTCTTTAGCCTTATAGCTACCAATGTGCAATGTTCATGACATATAAAATCATTTTGCGCTATGCCTGATTTGTGTGTAGGAACGTTTTTATTCACTGCCTATTAGGCTTGTGTATCTGTGGTAAGATAAGCAGCACCAATGTCTTGACTACATGTGATCTGCTAATTTTGTTATAATTAATGTAAGGAAGTCTTTGCTTTTCACATATTTGGTATAAGCTGCAAACATATAACCTGTGAATTGGGCCTTGGTGTGAATCTCCACTGTCTTTATATTGTAGTCAGCCATAGCCATTATTCTTAAACACTAGGACATATGTTTAGTTATAGATGGGATTCCAATTAGGCTTATTTTTATGCTAAATATTGCAGCTGTTATATTGGTATCCCTTCTATAGCAGTTAAAAATTAATTGGTTGTTATGAGCAAATGATTATTGCTGATCATGTTGCTTCAGGTCCTTTATAAAAAAAATTATAAACCATGTAGTGTACATTTTTGTATATGCACATGGATACTTAGGCATTTGCAGTTACTGTGTGTTTGTGTGTGTGTGTGTGTGTGTGTGTGTGTGTGTGTGTGTGTGTGTGTGTGTGTGTGTGTGTGTGTGTGTGTGTGTGTGTGTGTGTGTGTGTGTGTGTGGTGTTTGAGAGTGTGTTTTGTGTGTGTGTGCTCACCTAATTGTACTCACCTAATTGTGGTTGCAGGGGTCGAGACTCAGCTCCTGGCCCTGCCTCTTCACTGATCTCTACTGGGCCCTCTCTCTCTCTCTGCTTCCTGAGCTTTGTCATACCTCTTCTTAAAACTATGTATGGTTCCTGCCTCCACTACTTCACTTGCTAGGCTATTCCACTTGCTGACAACTCTGACTGAAGAAATACTTCCTAACGTCCCTGTGACTCGTCTGAGTCTTCAGCTTCCAGTTGTGACCCCTTGTCCCTGTGTCCCCTCTCTGGAATATCCTATCTCTGTCCACCTTGTCTATTCCCCGCAGTATCTTGTATGTCGTTATCATGTCTCCCCTGACCCTTCTGTCCTCCAGTGTCGTCAGTCTGATTTCCCTTAACCTTTCCTGTGTGTGTGTGTGTGTGTGTGTGTGTGTGTGTGTGTGTGTGTGTGTGTGTGTGTGCTTACCTATTTGTGGTTGCAGGGGTTGAGTCTTAGCTCCTGTGTGTGCGTGTGTGTGTGTGTGTGTGTGTGTGTGTGTGTGTGTGTTTTGTTTGTGTGTGTGTGTGTGTGTGTGTGTTTTTTGAGCAGTTAGTCACTTCTCGGTTTGTGTGTGTGTGTGTGTTTGTTTTTGAGCAGTTAGTCACTTCTCGGTAAACTGTGTGTTTGGAGAGTATAAGTAATCCTTTGGTAATTAATTTATAGATGTTGGTACATTGTACGGTCTGTGTGTGCACTTCATTGATGCATTATTCATTTTTCTTTTTTAAACACTCCAGCTGTCTCACCAGGGTAGGGTGACTTGACAAAGAAAACGCTTATCACTGTTACTCAGTCTTGCCTGAAGTACACTGACATTACAGTTCAGATGACACTTTAAACTGCAACGTCCCCCCACCCCTCCTCCAGAGTGCAGGCATTTTGCTTCCCACATCCAGGACACAAAGTCCAGCTAACCAGATTCCTTGAATCCCCTTATTACTGTTACCTTGTTTACACACCAACACATCATGTAAAAATCACTTGCCTCCACTCCAGTCTAATATGCTTGTACAAGCCTATTGGATGTACAAGACCCTAGCACTCAAAACCTCCTCTACCCCTCCCTCCAGCCTTTACTAGGATGACCCCTACACCTACTTCCCTCCACCCTACATTTATATGCCTTAGTCATCTTATTATTCCCCTCCCTCTCTGTCCATGTGTGTGTACAAATTATAGATACATTTTACATGTATAATGTGTGTAAATTATATATACATTGTAGATGTATAATGTGTAAATGTACAGTCCCTTGCAAAGTTTTAATGTGATTGCCTAACCAAGTGCACCGAGGAGTACATACATGCTTGTCCACATGGATACACATGTACACACAATACAGTATAATATATGCCTCTTGTATTCATACATGTCCATGTGTCCACACATGCATTCATATATGAACACAATACAGTGTATGCCTTTGTTCATTCACATACACTATATAAAAATTCATCTTATGTTTAGCTACTAATTAACATTCCTCATATACGTATAGTGTATCATGGGATAATTTTTCTAAGATTATTGTTGATTTATTTTGAGTATTAATTTAGACTTTTCCATGACTCGTTAGGTAAGACATACATTGTCACAATTTTGTGTTACTCATCAAGTGTAATATTAATGTTTGTTATCCTCTTACTTGACTATCTAATTTATTGGCTTAAATATTGTAGCAGTAGAGAGCCATGCAGTTTTTGACTGATGGTGTTCCATATGTGGAGTTATGTGCAGCATTCCCCTCATGATGTATGACTCTTGGATGGTGTCAGCTTCAAGCTCTTTGATAGTGATAACACGATCTAATTAATTATACGAGTTGGAGAACCTAAATATTATGTGATACATGCAGCTATTGTGTTAGTTACTAGTAGGCAGCTACATGTGTGATGGCTATTGCCAAGCCAAAGTATCAAGATGACCTGCTGTGTGGGACCATCACAAATGCAGTTATATTATTTAATAAGCTTCTTTTGAAGAGATGAAAGCTCAGATATTCTTAAGTAGGCTGACTATTTTATTTAGTGGGCTTATCATTTTGAGGCTGCATCCATTTATGCAGTATAGTGAAAATATATATCAAATACACACAAGTGTAGTAAATGTTTAGTTGGTGGTGATGTTATATTTTTGGTCTTGGGAACATACAGTAATGTGGGTAGAGGTCTCTGGTGGCAGCATGTTGTCCCATCACAAGCAGACATGCCCTTTATAAAAAGCAACTTCTATGTAAGGTTATGCTGTAAGCTGGGTACTTGTCACACGGGTACTCTTGCTCATACCTTTATACTGAGATCATTTCCATGGTGTAGAATAAAGAATATAAAGAATGCATAATAAGAAAATTTTGCTTATTTATCCAGTTGTCTTAATATCGACTTTTGAATTACTCGGATATTGAAGAGAAGATTTAGTTACAAAGGTATTGTTATATCTATAGTATTTGCATCATATTTTGCTACCAAAGTCAGCCTTTGAATAATTGATCAGAAGATATTTGAATATGGTGATATTTATCTTTCCCATCATAAATATATTAGCGAGTACTCCATGGTAGCTACTTTATACAGTAAACTCTTTAAAAATTCTGGCACTTGCAACACCCAGACCACTGAGTCAACCAGTAAGCCAGCAGTCTCTATGGCCTGCAATTGGGCCAAAGATTGGCACAAATGTATCTGTAATAATCAACACCACTATCTAATGCTGCTGGTTGCTTCATGGGAGCTTGTAGGGCCATGGCACAATTAAATAGATCATATGAAAATAATTTGTGGAGTGATTATTTCTTAACAAATGCAATAATTTAAAATTGTATTAGTCCATGAAGAACATCTGGAAATGTTTCAGCCACTACACCCCAGTGCACAATATTATATTTGATCTCCTAATTTATATTTACTTTTTGTATTTGTAATGTGTCTTTTATGCATTTAAAATTTTAAACTATGAATAATTATGTTATGAGATAGGGATCCAGGGGGTTCCCACTTTGGAATACCATTCATATCTTTACCTATTACCCCCAGGATCTCTTTTGCTATGTTAAGATCCTAGTTTGCCCCTTGTTCAAAATGTCCATTACTAGTGAGGCTGCACGTAGATGCTAGAAGGGCTGCACAACCCACAACAATCAAGTTAGTGTACAGAAACAAGACAGTTGGGTGGGAAGTGACAACACAATTACTCATGGTCCCTATTACAGAAATTACTTTTTCATTTAGTGTTCTGTATTTATAAACTTAATTTTCTGTCACTGGACCATGGAGGGCCCACTGTGGAATCTTGAACACCAATGCCCAGATTGGAAAAGGCAGCTGTCAAGTAGGGCAAAAAGCCAAGTGGGCATGAACCTGATACAGAAACCCCTGGACCTAATGAAGGTTGAGAAATAGGGATGATACATTCCAAAGTTGATGAATTCATAGTCCAGTGACAGAAATATGTTTGATATAATTTTTTAAGAATGGTTTGGTTGCCAAGGCTGGCAATTTATAGAGTTTACTGTATTAGTCAAGATATAGCCAGTCCATAAGATAAGTATAATAAGTTTGATATTATAAGTTGTACACTGTAATAATGTTGTAATTCTGACCCTCAGAGAATGTTATTCCTTGACACTAGTTTCATGCCTTAAGATTCTAATACTTTAAATTGTCCACAGGTAATTCTGACCCACCCCATAAATTCTATAGAGGAGAAATTGGTGTATAAATTAGTGTGCACTGATAATTGTTACAAAAGTTTTTCCCATTATTTAAATCTTCTGCATTATACATAAAATGTCTTGATGCAGGAGTCAACCACACAAGTCTTGCCTGTTTTCATCGAAGTGCAGTTGTATTACTCCTTACACCCAAGACTGGGTGTTGGGGATAGCCATATGTACAAAACTGTTAGGTTTTAGAAAAATTGGCATACTGGCAGAATTAAAAGAAAATTTTGGTTTGATTCTGGTAGTGAGTGGGCTTTCTTAATACATAGTAGATAATGAAGTTTGATATCTGTTCTTACCCACACATGATAGCAATATTGCTGTCTGACAAAATATTTAACTTCACTTGTTTGATGTATAAGATTTGCAAGTCTGTGCATATTAAGCATTGAGAAATTTGGAATCTTCATCTGTTATATTCCTTATTTTAATTATTGATGTTATGAAATTCAAAAATATATTTAATAGTTGTTAAAGATGAAGAGCAGCCACACTTAACTGTGCTCATTTGTAGCAGAAATTTGACTAACAGCAGCAACTTGGGTATGGTAGATGTTGGTTAGTATCAAATTGTATTTTATAGGCTTGCTCTCTATCTTGCTCTCTCTCAGTCTCTCTCTCTCACTCTCTCTCTCTCTCTCTCTCTCTCTCTCTCTCTCTCTCTCTCTCTCTCTCTCTCTCACTCTCCTCTCTCTTGCTCTCTCTTATATACAGTATATAAAAAAACATTTGTTTTTAAACTTGGCAGATTTAAATGAGAATAAATGCAGTGAATGGGGAATACTGGAAGTGTTGTTCAGAAGAGAATACGTAAGGACTTGGTGACAAAGCAGTATGGAAGAAAGAATTGGTCTGATTTGAAGGCACATTAATGAGCCAGGTTAACATAGTGATTAAATGACATGGCCAGAAGCTGTACATGTAATACAATTTTATCCCATAAGTTGACTTGCAAATGAGCCTCCCTTCATTTACAAAAACAAAAAGTTTTCCCTTTTATTGCTTAATTATATTGTAGATTTATCTTCTTAATGCAGCCTTAGTTAATTAAGGAAATATTTTCTCTTAACATAGAGAATTAATTTGTTAGTGCCAGTCTGCAACCCATCTGTAGCCATAGATAATGTTTAAACATAGAGCCATGCCAGAAGGCACTCTGCTCAATTATCCCAACATTAAATGACCATAGCACCAATATTGTATATTGATA